TCCAGTGAAGAACTTCGTTTCTCCCTGCTGCCCCTGGCCGGGAGAAGGTGGAGGGGACTGGGCGTGGGCCCTTCCTGCTGCCGCTGACCAGGTAGATTCAGCTCCCACCCGTGGAGGAGATGCAGGGGGCGGGCCGGCCTCTCACGCAGGCTCACAGGCTCGGGGGCACTGCCTGTGCGCCCGCCGGCCCTTCTGCCCTCTGGCCCGGTCCTCTGCCCGCTGAGTGGCTGGTGCACACTGTGGGAAGGAGACTGAGAGGCGAGCTTAAGGCTGAGCCCTGGACCTGGGAGAGTTCTGTCTCCCTGTGGACCCCAGGAGGGGTGGGGAGGTGGCTCTGGCTCCTGGAGGGGGGTGGGAGGGAGGAAGGGAGGCCCCAACAGCCTCCTCCCAGGTGAGCTTTGGCTGAACTCCAGGCTTGGAGGCCGGCACCAGCGGCCAGTGGTCACTCCTGAGTGTGGCACAGTACCTCGCGTGGTTGTGAGACATCAGAGGCATGAAGGGCTGGAGGAGAGATGTTCACAGGAGGCAGAAGGCACACAGAAACTGTCGATTGGGCTGGAATAGATCTTGGGTCAAAGCACTGGCTTAGCAAGTGTGAGGACCTGGGCTCAATCCCCAGCATGGAAGAAGAAAAAAGTAAGAAATGCTGCTACTTATATTTATAACATCCATTCCACAAATTGGCCACAGTGCCCGGCAGCTGGTGAGCTGGTGGAGGACGTATTGGATGTGCCCACAATGGAGTATTGGTCGGTTTATGAGGAGGATACGAGCAGCCATGCCACTGTAGGAGCAAGGACACGCCAAGTGAAATAAGCAAGTCAGGAAAGCAAGCGGCTCCCACACACTCTCATGCAGAGCACGTGGTCCCACTGCTGGCTGCACTGTGAGGGAAGGGGTTGGAACTGGGGGAGGTGGTCCTTGGGGTCAGGCCGGCTGTAAGGTCCTGCTCCTGGATGGCGAGCAGACTCCACCCTCCTTGCAGCAAAGTCTCCGCCCAGTACCTACATTACCTAGGCAACTGGCACACCTGGAAGAGGTCACGTCTGAATTTGATGTGGCCACACCTTTCTCCGCCCATACCCTAGACAAGGCCTAGCCCAGGCCCAGAAGCCCCTTTTTTCCCAGCTCTTTTCTAGCTGTCTTTCCCAGCTCTCTCTCTTTCCCAGCTCTTTCCCAGATCTTTCTCAGACGCCCTCTTTGTCAGCCGCATGGAGTGCCAACCTGGCCTGGGTCCCAGCAGGTCTACTGAATAAACCTACCCCTTACCTGAATACCCACGTGCGTGGTGTTGTTCTTACTCAGGTCACCTCTTTAAAAAAAACCTAACACCAGCCTTGCCCCCCGCCTCCCCTCCCCCCCTCCCCCCCTCCCCCCCCCCCCCCCCCCCCCCCGCCCCGCTTCCTGTTTGCAAGGAGATGAACTCCTCCACCTCCACAGGCCCCCATGCCACCAGGCTCCACACCACCACTCCTGGACAAATGCAGCCATCCACAATGATGTGAGAACCACGGACCCAAATCAGTCCTTCCTCTGCCCAGTAACAAATACACAGCCTTGGCCAGTGAAGGCCATGGCTCAGGCCACGGATGTACTCATGTGTTGGGTGGAGTAAGCCAGGAGCAGGATAAATGTTGCGACATCCCTCTTACACGTGGAGAATCCGAAACTGCCAGGCCTGCAGACTCGGAAGGCAGCACTGAGGAGCCTGAGGCTGGGGCAGGGGTCCGGGGAGGGATGTGTGGGGGTGTATGGGCTGAAGGGCAGGGCACCCAGATGGGCAGGAGGAGCAAGCTCACGCAGCAGCACGTGGCAGCTGCAGTGAGTAGCTGTGTAGCGTCTGCTGGAGGGGGGTGAGGAGTGTTTATGGGGCATCTGGTGTGGCCTGGCGCACGTTGCCGTGTCTGTGAGACCACGCAGGCTGTGCAGCTGCAGCCTATAATGCAGAAACACAGCCCACTGTGCACCGTCTGTGGGCACAGCTTGCTCCCACACGCAAAGCAAAAGTAGATGGGGGTGCTGGCAGCTCACGCCTGTCATCCCAGCTACTCAGGATGCTGGGATCTGAGGACTGTGGTGCAAAGCCAGCCTGTGTTGCAAAGTCCATAAGACTCTTATTCCCAATTGACCACCAGAAAGACAGAAGTGGAGCTGTGGCCTTGAGTAGAAAAGCTCAGGGTAGAAAAGCTCAGGGTTAGTGTCCAGACTCCAAGTTCAAGCCCCTGGACCAGCATGCATGCATGCGTGCACACAAACTCACACTCACACACAGGATGAATGGGTGAGTAAAAGAGCAGGGGAATTTGCTGAGGTTTATCAATGGCAAAGAATGCTCCACCCCATCTCAGCTCTCTGACTCTGATTGGCCGAAGTTGAGGTCATGTGCCCAGCTGCTAGTCTCTGCTCCTAACTGGCCAAGGCGGAAGTCACATGCTCCCTCCCTGAGCCTGGATGGAGGGCGCAGGATCGGTGGAGAGTGGATTCCAGGAGCCCCACAAGCACCACCCAAGACAGTGTGTGGAGGCGAGGGAAGTGTGCTCCTGGTGTGTGTGGAGCGAGGCGGGGGCTGGGATGCGGCCTGTCTGTGGGGCAGTTTCGGGCATTCTGTGGGAGTTTCTGCTTGGGAAGATGAGAGGGGAGCAGGCAGCCGAATGCAGTCACTGTGTACAATCTCAGCTGTGGTGGGGGCGGAGGGAGTCCCGGCAGCGGGCCAATCCAGGCTGCATCTTAAGGAAGAAGCCCAGATCAGCACCACAGTTCTGCAGGAGGCAGCCAGTCTGGGGGTGGTAACTATGGCAAAAATGGCTCAAGTGGATGAAGGGCTCACTTAGCAAGCACAAGACCCCGAGTCCACACTCCTGAACTCCAGCACCTAGCACTCTGTACTGAGGCAGAACCCCCTGCTGGGAGTGAGCACTGCGCTTGGTGCAGGTGTCTGTATTGGAGGAGGAGTGGGAGCAGCCACACACTTTCCCTGGCCTGGACCCTCTCCTTCCTCTCCTCCCCTTCCAGGACCTCTGTCACCACACCTCTAGAGGCTCTGATTGATTCTGTCCTTCTACTGTGGGTCAACACCAGGGCCTCCAGATTTGTCTCAGTGCTGCCCATAGTAGGTGCTCAGCAAACCCTGACTCACAGTCTCACGAGTACATTAGGTGCTGAACTCCTCACTCCTACTTTGCCCCAAACACATCGTCCTCTTAGTCTTAACCACCCTCCTTTGAAAGGCCTGGCAGGAGTGGTGGGGCAGGGGGAGAAATACATGTCTCCTTGTTAATTTTTTATATTATTATTGTTGTTGTTATGTTTGCTTGAACTCTGGGCCGGGGTGCTGTCCCTGAGCTCTTCAGCTCAAGGTGAGCGCTCTACCACTTGAAACACAGTGCCACTTCTGGTTTTTCTGGTGGTTTATTGGAGATAAGATCTCATGGTCTTTCCTGCCCAGGCTGGCTTTGAACCCTGATCCTCATATCTCAGCCTCCTGAGTAGCTGAGATGACAAGCCATTTTTATTATTTCCCTGCATTGTGCAGTACTGGGGTTTAAGCTCAGGACCTAGCATCTGCTGGCGATCTGCCACTTGAGACCACCCTGGCCCTTTTTTGCTTGAGTTATTTTGCTTGCGAGTAGTCTTACATGGTCTCTGCCCAGTGCACAGCTGGGATTACAAGTGTGAGCCGCCACACTTGCTGGTTTTCTGGGATATTTCCAACGTCGTCCCAGTACTGGCCTTGGACTGAGTCTCTGGCAGCTGGGAATAGAGGGGCAAGCACTGCGCTCGGTGTCCTGGCGTTGTTTGGCATTGCTGTGACCACTCGTGGCATGGGCATTGAGTTCAACTTTGAGAAAATGCTTACTAAGTGTGAAAGGTCAGGGAGGGCACTGGGAAGCTGGTGTGAAAGGTCAGGGAGGGAAGGGAGGGCACTGGGAAGCTGGTGTGAAAGGTCAGGGAGGGCAGGAAGGTCGCTGGAAAGCCGGCGTGAAGATGCCGGTGCCAGGGCTCGTACTCAGACCCCGTGGTCTGCTGACCCTGGCCCCTGCTCGCCGCGGAGCGGTGGCCCGGTCCAGGCCTGAGAGGGGCCGCTGCGCAGGGAACCGCTGGCGCTCCTCCTCCGGGGTCTGCGGCTTCGTCCAATCAGGCTTTTCCTGCTGCAGATGCCAAGGAGCCCCGCTCCTGCCGCATCCCGTGGCTGCACCCAGCAGCGGTGCTGGACCCAGCGGTCCGCGCGCCCGTCCTCCCCACCCCCCACGCCCGGCCTGTCCCCCCCCCCCCTCGCGCCCGGCCGCGGCTGCCCGACGCCCCCGATGTTCCCGGGCGGCTTCCTGGCTCGGAGACAGCGCGGCGGCCGCGGGGACGCAGCTTCTTCGCTAACGAGGCGCAGTTTCCTCACAGGGCCGGCGCTGCTAACGAGCCCCAAGCCGGGGCCCGGGGCCCGACCTCCCGGGGGCCAGAGGCCTCTCACCCGGCCCCGGGGTGTCCGGCGGGCAGGGCGGCGCGGCCGTGACGAGGGTGACGGCGGCCTCCGGGGCCTGGCCCGGCCGGCGCCGCCCGTGAGGTCCATCCCAGCTCCCGGGGGGGGGACCCCCCTCCCCCGCGGCCCCGCTCTCCCTGGACCCCCCCCTTCCCCGCGGGCCTCGCTCTCCACCCCCTACCGCGCGGCAGACGCGGACGGCCCGGCCTCGCGCCTGGGCCACCCCAGGCAAGACCGCAGTGCTGGGCCCGGCCGCCGCCAGCACTGGCCGGGGAAGACGCAGACGCCGCGAGGAGTTCGCGGGCTGGGAGCATGGCTCCGTGGGGAGTCCGGGCTCGATTCCCCAGCACCACACAGACCAAGCCGGAAGTGGCGCCGTGGCTCAGGGACAGCGCCCGGGCCTCGAGGTCGAGGCCCGAGATCGGAGGGAAAAAGAAACCCAATTGCAATCCGGGGGATGAAGAGCCCGGGTCAAAACCAAGACAACGGAAGACCGTGAGGGGCAGCGACGCCCGGAGCCGCACGCCGGGACGGCGACCGGGCGAACCGAGGCGGGGCTGGCGGGGCTGGCGGGGGCTGCCGGGGGCTGGCGGGGCTGCCGGGGGCTGACGGGGCTGGCGGGGCTGCCGGGGGCTGACGGGGCTGGCGGGGCTGCCGGGGGCTGACGGGGCTGGCGGGGCTGGCGGGGCTGGCGGGGGCTGACGGGGCTGGCGGGGGCTGCTGGGGGCTGACGGGGCTGGCGGGGCTGGCGGGGGCTGCCGGGGGCTGACGGGGCTGGCGGGGGCTGCCGGGGGCTGACGGGGGCTGGCGGGGCTGGCGGGGCTGGCGGGGGCTGACGGGGCTGGCGGGGCTGCCGGGGGCTGACGGGGCTGGCGGGGCTGGCGGGGCTGGCGGGGGCTGACGGGGCTGGCGGGGGCTGACGGGGCTGGCGGGGCTGCCGGGGGCTGACGGGGCTGGCGGGACTGGCGGGGGCTGGCGGGGGCTGCCGGGGGCTGCCGGGGGCTGGCGGGGGCTGCCGGGGCTGGCGGGGCTGGCGGGGCTGGCGGGGGCTGGCGGGGGCTGACGGGGCTGGCGGGGGCTGCCGGGGGCTGCCGGGACTGGCGGGGGCTGGCGGGGGCTGCCGGGGGCTGGCGGGGGCTGGCGGGACTGCCGGGGGCTGGCGGGGGCTGGCGGGGGCTGCCGGGGGCTGGCGGGGGCTGACGGGGGCTGGCGGGGCTGGCGGGGGCTGCCGGGGACTGGCGGGGCTGACGGGGCTGACGGGGGCTGACGGGGGCTGGCGGGGGCTGGCCGGGGCTGGCGGGGGCTGACGGGGCTGACGGGGGCTGACGGGGCTGACGGGGACTGGCGGGGGCTGCCGGGGACTGGCGGGGCTGACGGGGCTGGCGGGGCTGGCGGGGGCTGACGGGGGCTGGCGGGGCTGGCGGGGCTGGCGGGGCTGACGGGGGCTGGCGGGGCTGCCGGGGGCTGGCGGGGCTGGCGGGGCTGGCGGGGGCTGGCGGGGGCTGACGGGGGCTGGCGGGGCTGACGGGGACTGGCGGGGCTGCCGGGGGCTGGCGGGGCTGGCGGGGCTGGCGGGGCTGCCGGGGGCTGGCGGGGGCTGACGGGGACTGGCGGGGCTGCCGGGGGCTGGCGGGGGCTGACGGGGGCTGACGGGGACTGGCGGGGCTGCCGGGGGCTGACGGGGACTGCCGGGGGCTGGCGGGGCTGACGGGGGCTGCCGGGTCTGGCGGGAGCTCGCGGCTGCCCAGCCCGACCCGCGTGGGCCTGAGGTCAAACCAGACATTAAAGAATGAAAGGTGACCGACGGCCACCGGGCGGGACAGGCCAAGAAGAGTCCGCAGCGGGGACGATGCAAGGCGGGGGACGAGGCAGTGCATGGCTGGGGACGCTGGACGCACCGCAGGGGACAGGGAGGACGGCGCGCGCGCGGCGCCTCCGTGTCCGTATGAGCAGAGGGCCGGCTTCCACCTCATTGAACCCGCGCTGCTCGGCCCGCCGCGGACCCGGATCCCTGCCCGGCCAGCCGCCGGCCAAGCACGAGATCCGGGCACACCGAGGCCACCGGCCGGGGGGGAGGGCTGCCGGCCTGAGTGCACCCTCTCAGGAAAAGGACGTCTGTGATGAGAAACCCAAGGCTGCGACCGATGGCAGGGAGAGGACGGCCTGCCGGCCTTCCGGTGTGACAGCGTCCTGTCTGACCGGCCTTCTGGTGTAACTTTCGTACAAAAGTGCAGGCGCCGGTGGCTCACGCCTGTCATCCTAGCTACTCAGGAGTGTGAGAGCTGAGGATCGCAGTTCAAAGCCAGCCCTGGCAGGAAAGTCCTTTAGACTCTTATCTCCAATGAACCACCAGAAAACTGGAAGTGGCGCTGTGGCTCAAGTGGTAGAGCGCTCACCTTGAGCTGAAGAGCTGAGGGACAGCGCCCAGGCCCAGAGTTCAGGCCCCACGACGGACTGGCCTTCCGGTGCCAGCGTCCCTGACTGCCTGGGCCTGGTGAGAGAAGGAGCCGGCTTTTCCTGTGCGATATCTGCTCCATAGAAATATCTTATTTCTAAGACTTGTTCTAGAACTCTCCGTCTGGGCATGGGGCACATTCCTGTGGCCCCAAGTTGACAGGACAAGCGCATGACAGCAGTGGAGATGGAACACGAAGCTTGCAAAGTGACCGAGGTTGCTGAGGACCTGGTGAAAGGAGACCCTTCCTGGATGGGAGGGAAATGAGCGAGGCTGGAGAAGAGGCGGAAACAATGTTGGAAAACTAGGGAAAGGGTGCAGCAGCCAACTTGAAAGCTACAACCATTTGAACAATGAAATGATGATAGCACCTGACTGTGCCAAAGAGCAAGAGCCTACCACAGAGTCACAGTGATACACAAAGAATAAGATCCCACCACAGAGTCACACTGGTACACAATAAGATCCCACCACAGAGTCACACTGATACACAAAGAATAAGATCCCACCACAGAGTCCCACTAACATACAATTTGGAAACAGAAATGAGGACAACCCTTCCTTTTTTTTTGTCGGTGGTGGGTCGTGAACTCTGGGCCTGGGTACTGTCCCTTGGCTCTTCAGCTCAAGGCTGGCATTCCCACTTGAGCCATAGCACCACTTCTGGTTTTCTAGTGGTTAATTGGAGATAAGAACCTCACACTTTCCTGCCTGGAGCAGCTTTGAACCACGATCCTCAGATCTCAGCCTCCTGGGTAGCTAGGATGACAGGTGTGAGCCACCAGGGCCTGGCTAACTCTTCCTCACATTAAAGGTTATATTCAACTACAAAATATAAAAATAACTGGTGCCATCTTGGTAAGGTGGTAGATGAAGGTGAAGGCCCACCTCCAGGTGCTGCCATTTTGTACCATGCCTTACTCCTCCTCACTCTCTTCAGGTCACCATGGTGTCCCTATTCATCTCTCAGTCCATCTTATTTGTGGATACTTTTTCTGCTCTTTCTGTACTCCTACCCTCATGGCTCAGTTTCTTAGCAGTGTTAAGGGTGTTTGAGGCTGCAGGATTTTGGGGACATGTGTCCGCAGTCAGTCGCTGGCTTTCTATTTCTAATAAAGACTCCTGATTTGACCTCTCAAAATGTGGCTTCTTGGTATCTTGAGATCCAATTCCCATATAACAATAGTAGTAGCAACAGCTTGCTCTTTCCAAGAGGAGAACCAGGTTCCAGGCTCTGGGTACCATTGGTTACTGTGCGTTGTTTCATTTGACTGTTGTTCAAGTTAGTGACATCTTAATAATATGGTATGAAAGATTCTTAGTACCAAAGAGTGAAGTATGCCTAGAAAAGAAATAGTTTTCCTGAAGTTGGCCTGTTGATGATAACAGAGTTCAAGAAAGCAGCAGAAATACTTTTAAGTATTATTTTTTTTAATGAGGTAGGAAAAAATAAAGTAAAAATTCTCAGCTACTAAAAAACTTTTATCTTTGATCAGTAGTAACAGCTTTACAATCTAAAAACAGTTACAAGGAAGTACTTCTTAAATTCATGTCCCAAAAAGTCACTATAACTATCAGAACTTCACTCTAAGGGAGCCTTCTGAACCCCTGAAAACTGCAAGCCACCTTATCTGCTTTAGCAGGAAGTGAGGCTGGGACTCAGAGCAGGAAGCTGGCCTCAGGCAGTACAGCACTGCACCTGATCTTCAGAGCAGATGAGCTATAGCAGAGACAAAGGCCCAGGTTCACGTCTTACATGGTCAGCATCAACCTTGGTTAACCAACTGACAACCCGGAGTTCCAAGTATGCCTGCCTTGTCTGTAAATAGTGAACATGAGCGCTCAATGCCTTGTACATTCTTTCAAGAAGCAAGTAAGACAACATTGTGTAAACTATGAGGTACTATGTAAATATATTATACATTACACCAGCTTGCCACAAAATCAGCTTAATAACACCTATAAAATATTTTTACTGGCCGGGCGCCGGTGGCTCAGGCCTGTCATCCTAACTACTCAGGAGGCTGAGATCTGAGGATCTTAAAGCCAGGCCGGGCAGAAAAGTCTGTGAGACTCTTATCTCCAGTAAACCACCAGAAAACCAGAAGTGGTGCTGTGGTTCAAGTGGTAGAACACTTGCCTTGAGCAGAAGAGCTGAGGGACAGCACCCAGGCCCAGAGTTCAAGCCCCACCACCGACAAAAAAAGAAAAAGAAAAAGAAAATACTTTTACTACTGGACAAGTGACTTACGCTTGTCATCCTAGCTACTCAGGAAGCTGAGATCTGAGGATCGTGGTTCAAAGCCAGCCCAGGCAGGAAAGTCTGTGATACTCTAATCTCCAATTAACCACCAGAAAACCAGCAGCACTGTGGTTCAAGTGGTAGAGCTCTTGCCTTGAGCTGAAGAGTGCAGAGACAGTACCCAGGCCCAGAGTTCAAGCCCCATGACTGCACCCCCCCCCAAAAAAAATTGCCTTTCTGGTATAGTCTATGTGATTTGAAGATAGTGTATGTTAACTCTTCTACATGAACCTAGGCCACACAGATTGGGTCAGTGTGAAGCCCAATTGCTAATTACAATTGCCAGAAAGCCAAAAGCTAGGCTCTCCAGTTCATGGATAGCACTGAAGGCCAGTTTCTTGGTGGGAAGGGGGGTTGCTGCTAGGGATGAAGCCCAGGCCCTCCCACAGGCCAGGCGCATGCTTTACCACTAAGCTCCATCCCCTCCCAAGACAGACAAGATCTATCAGCTGCTTTCTTATGCAATAAAAATACAGTTTGGCCTGTGTGACTGCTAACATGTGTACTGAATTTCCTCTTGCAAAATGTTTTCCTATATTCTTTTAACTTTCTGATCACACCATAATACAATTTTAGGTTATAATCAAAGTGTAAGAAGACATATATAAGGGCTACTCAAATGCAGGACACTCAAAAGATCTCTGTAGGATAAAGCCAAGGATAGAAAAGTTTGCTTTCTGAATGGAAGGTATTCAACTGTGATCACAACTAAGCGTTTCCTCTTCAAAATGGAGCAGATAGTGTTGCGTGAGGAAGGAGGCCAGGCTGAAGCACCGTCCACAGAGCCGGCACTGGTAGACCCGGTCATCCTTGTGAGTCTGGTAGTGCTGGATGAGGTGGGAACGTCGACTGAAGACTTTGCCACAGTCACAGCACTTGTGGACTTGGTCTTTTGCAGGCTTCTTCTTCGGCTGATAGTGAATTAAATATGCCTTGTAGCAGGGCAATGCAGGAGGCTGAGCCTTTGCCTTCTCGTGAGCTTCAAGATGTTGGACAAGATGAGTCTCCTGGACGAAAGCTTTGCCACACTGTGGACATTCGTGGTAGTCCTCCTGGCTGTCAGCTCTTCCAGGTTCACAGAGCTCCATGCGTGGGATGCGAAGATTTCCCCTCTTGCTGCCTGTAGAGTGAGTCTTCTGATGTCTAGTGAGGTGTGGCATGAGGAAGAATGCCTTGCCACACTGCTTGCACTTGAAGGGCTTCACCCCAGTATGGATCGGTTCATGTCTTACAAGAGCCACCCGGGAGTTGAAAGTTCGCTTGCACACTTTACATCTGTGTTCCGAGGGCAGGGGCCTGGCACTAATTACAGGAGGAGCACACTCCTGCAGACCCTTTCTTGGGAGGCTCGCTGACTGCTGGGTAACATCAGAGGCTCTCTCAGACTCATCAGTGCCATGGCTTCTTTCTTGAGCAAAGGCCTTGGGGCTACTCATGGTCCCAACACTCAGCATGGGTTGTTTCTGGCTGTCCTGAGGCAGTGCTGGTGGGTTGTCAGCAGAAGCCTCTCCTACGAGACAAGCAGAAGCTACTTACTTATCGCCAGACCCCATTCTTGACCCCAGTGGCAATTTCTCTAAATATAGCTTTGGTCAGTTCTCTGGTCTCTTCTATCTGTCTGAAAGAAATTTACAGTACCTGTACTTTTTTTTTTTTTTACTCAGAGATGCAACTTTATAGTAGAAACAGAAGAAAGAGGCTAGTGATATGGGAACTGGTCTTATGCATTTTGAGAGTTTTCTAAGAACACAACTAAGGAAAAAATAAGGCCAAGCAAGCAAGGAAAGAGACAATCAGGTAGACTTCACACTGCTAGACACAGAGATACAGAATGGAGTGATAAGGAAATCAGAAAGAGATCTGATATTGGGTTTATTCACATCTTCAAATCATGCTTGACAGACCACTGACATTCTGAAAAACTAGCAGAAATGACCAGAAAGGGCTCCATTTCATGCTGGACTATCAGAGCTGTAAATATGCAGTTCAAATCTCCAAGAGGAAAGGTGTAGGCCCACGTGTGTGGGCATAGCTCTGTGAGCCAGCCTAGTGTACAAGGCTGTGGATAGGAAGATCAGAGTATGAGGCTGGCCTAGGGCAAAAATGCAAGACCTTGCCTGAAAAAGGAAAAGAAGGGGAGCCAGGGATGTGGCTGAAGTAGTAGAGCATCTTCCAACAAACACAGGATCCTGAATGCAAATCCCAGTGATGCTTCCAAAGAGAGAACACACAGAATGCAGCACTCTAAAACTGGCTTTACCACGGGACATTTGAAAAGACACCTATAAATATGATTATTTAGGATCATTGAGGAAACACTGGAAAGAAGAGGACAAAAATCTCTTGCTCAGAATAAAGCAAAGGATTCTTTTTTCTTGGACCCCAGCTCTCATTTTTACCCAACCTCTACTGCCAGATAACTAAGCTCTTCAACATTTATTAAATGTCTGTTCTGCACTAGGCATTCCAAAACCAGATTGTCATCACAAGTCTTTAGAGGACTGTAGTCAGACTAAGATGACAGAGGAGCAGAGGCAGGTGAATGGTTGCATACAGCCATTAGTGAGAGGGACGGCATTTAGGCTCTGTAAGTGGTGCAGAGGGCATAAAGACTGGAAAGTGGCTTGGCAGACACTGGATCATGGAAACACACAGCCCCAGGAAGCCAGACATGAGATGTTAGTTGGAAAGTCTATGGAAGATAAAGCAAAGAAGTGAATTTCTGGCTGAAATGGGAAGAAATTAAATGATAAGACCTATGATTCTAGCTCCAAGGAGAAAGGCACAAATGAGTGGAAGTATTGGAACATAAGAATAAGCACTGACTGCCCTGGAGCCAGGCAAGAGGGGAACTGCTGCAGGAAGAGAAGGCTTCAGAAAGGAGATGCAGAAAAGCACCAAGAAGAGTGAGCCCCCGAGGTAAGAACACTGCCTGGCCTTCTTTGTACCCTGGTTGAGGACTGTTTCCTGACTAGCGTTGCTGCCATGCTCCCATGCCCAGCCCGTCACTCATTGGGCAGGGCTATTTCTTCCCACAATCTCACTCTCCACGGGTTTCCTCCTCACCACTTTGACATATCACTGCACTGCTTTGTTGCTTCACTGCTTGTGCCTCTTCTTCCAGACGTGAGATAATGTCAGGTTTAGGGAACTGGCATCCTGTTGAAGAAAACTTGTAACTTGGGGGTTCAGTAACTCCTAATCCTGAGTCCTGAAGACTCTAGGTTAAAGAAAATCTCCCAGGAATACATTGAGAACCATGGCTCTCAATGACACCCCCCCCTACCCCCTACCCCCCCCCCCCCCGCCTCCAGCAGATATCTGGCAATGCATGGACTCTCTTCTGCAGCCATAGCTATGGAAATGAGGTGCTGCCCCATCTGGCATCTGGCAGGGGAGGGGAAGGCAGGGGTGCTTCTCCATATTCTGCACAAACAGCCCTCATGACAAAGAGCTATCTGGCTCCTTATGTTAACAGTGCAAAGTTTAAAACTCTGCTAGTGAGTAAAAACTGGAAAGGAAGACTAAGGGTAGAGTGCTGGGCTCTGTGCTTGAACACAGAGTTTGATATGTCCATTCAAAGGGGGAAACTCCAGTTCCTCCCCTCCTGTGACAACCTCCATTCCCCGCCACCCATTTAGGTAGCACCTTACTATTTACTTATGACCTGTCTTTTCCCATTCAAATATAGTGTCCAAGATAACAAGAATTCTATCTTGTGACCCCAAATAATACCAGGCTGAGGACATTGCCACTTCACTGACAAATTACTGAACAAATTACTGGTCATATCTACATGCCTTTCATATTTTCGCATTTAGTATTTATTTAACGTTTGTCTTTTTTTGGGGGGAGGGGTCCGGTCGTGGGGCCTGAACTCTGGGCTTGGGCGCTGTCCCTCAGCTCTTCAGCTCAAGGCTAGCGCTCTACCACTTGAGCCACAGCGTCACTTCTGGCTTTTTTCTTATGTGGTGCTGAGGAATCGAACCCAGGGCCTCAGGCATGCAAGGCAAGCGCTCTACCACTGAGCCAACTTCCCAGCCCCTTAACGTTTGTCTTTAATTCACTTTCCTTTTTAACTCAAAATGCACTTACGTGGAAGCTTTATGTCGACCCTGTAAAAGGAAATCAGAGTCATTTGCAAAAACAAAACAAAACAAATCCTAGAGGTAATAAAACAGCAGAAACTGAAGTAGCTTTTGTTGCCTAAGTCAGGATCAAGCCTGAGCTCTACTGTCTTTGCTAAAGCGGTCAATCGACAAGAAGCAGAAACATGCTAACACTAAGTGGACCATCCCTACTGACTGACCCACATGGTTTAAAAGAAAATTGGAATAGAAGCATCATCGTTCAGGCACACACCAGAGTCTCGGGGAGCAGATTTTAGAGTCATACCACTCACTGTCAAATCCCTGATTTAAACAGCTAGTTCCCACATCATGGGAAGCTATCACGGGAAGCACGGCTGCTCCTACACTAACGAGCATGGAAGCAAGAGGAGGCGAGTGCTTAGAGCAGTAAGCGTTGGCGATTTATTATTGCCCCTGATATGGCAAACTACTCCTACCAATGGGCAAACACAAATATGGGAAGTTACTGATCTAGGTTTATGGAGAGAGCATCCTTACCTATAGAGATGAGGTTCTGGTAGTTCTCTAGCATTACTTCCCGGTAGAGGGTCCTCTGCTCGGGAGTAAGGCAGCTCAGCTCCTCTGGAGTGAACACCACACATATATCCTCAAAAGTCACCAAACACTGAAACAGCAGAAAAACTTCCAATGACAAAAGTCCATGTCTAACACCTTGATATTCATGTAACAGCTTCATTAAAATAAGGATGTGAATTAATAGGGAAGGTCTAGCAATTAGGAAGATTCCCATATTTGAAAACCAAGTCACCTGGGAGATAGCTAGTTGACTGTTTGACATATTTCCTTTGTTCTTTTCTTGTTCTTCTGTTTCTCGCTTTTCTTCAAGGATAGAGTCTTGAGCAAAACAATCTAGAAGGAACAGAAGAACCACCATGGCATTAGGTCCTGTTTGGCAGCAGCCACACACACAATGCAGCCAACTAGGGAACATCTACATGGGCTCTGGAGTTGGGCAGCTCAGTGGAGGCTGCCCTGGGCGGGGTCACCGTAACTGGGGTGCTGGGAGAAGTGAGCAGCAGGAGAAAGGCAGGGTGAGGAGTTGGGGGAGGGCCTGTGACCCTGCAGATCCAAGATCAGAAGGAAGTCAGAGACCTGGAGCCAACCCGAGACCACCATACACACTGAGGACCAGGAGACAGAACAGGAAGACACCCAGGGGATTTCCTTACTAGCCCATCAGAGGTAAGCCAGCAAGCACCCTGTCCACAACCTCCATCCCCAAACCAGGGCCTGAGAAATGGGTCCTGCTGGTCCAGGGACAGCCCTGAACCTCATACACATGTCCAGATGCAAGCCTCAACCCCATCCCAGCACCATGGACAGGGACAGCTGCACTCAGAAATTCATTCTTAACCCCAGAGGCCCCATTCCTGACCCTGAAACTCCTCTTCCCCTCTCCATATCATATTCCCCAACCCATTTCTTCTCATCCCATCACAGGGAACACCACTAGCCCAAATTATCCAGACACCTGCAACCCCTCCAACACTGTTCCCCACTCCTCAGGGTAGGAAGAAAGCACCACTCAAAAAATACTGATGGCTGGTCAGACAGGCTACCAGAATTCATGGCCTGCCTTTTGGTTTACAGGATCTGACAGGTCTGGAGCACATGTTAATAAACTGCTCAAAAATGCTTCCTGCTAATGTCACCCATCTAAACAATATCCCTCCTACTCAGGAACCATACCATAATCCTAATCTGCCACCAGTCACTAAAAGTCTAGTTATCAACTGTAAAACAGTAACCGGCAAAATCTACAAGCTTACAAGGACAAGAACAACTACAGGTTTGAAATCATGGGAGAAGAAATTGCTTTCAAAATGATCGGCTCTAATGTCTCTCATGTGGTTGGCCAGCTGGATGACAAAAGGAAAAACCCCAAGAAGTTTGCCTAATGATAACATTGACCATAATCATAAGGATGCGGAGACAGTTCCCAGGGACTTCTATGAATCCGTGTTTGAGCTGCCGAGGGAGTATCTGAATTGTTTCCTTCCCATACATGAGCTGCAGGAATAGAGGGGATACCCAGACAAACTCAAGTTCTAGACCCGCTGGGTACTAGCAGCATTGATTCTATTTACTATAGTCTCTTTTTTTTTTGCTGAACAGTTGACTGCTCTTGAGTGGAAGTTATTTCCCAGGGGGAGGATACATATGGAAGCTAGTTCTAAGCAAATCAGGGTATAGACCATCCTCATGTGAAAGTCATCTACCTCAGCATTTACTGAGCATCCTAAAACTCAGCACCACAGGGATGACTTTGTGCTGTGATGCTTGGTCTGAAGAAGGAAAACATCTAGAACAGTGCTGTTCTGTGGCACAGACAAGCCCATTGTCCCCAAAGTACCAAATTAACACACTGAAAACTCGTGTGGAAGTCCTGAAATGATGTTACTTGTAAGGCGTTTGCCAATGGGCTTGTCATTCTGTTTCTAAAAAGCCTCACTGCTTACCTGCTACTTTCCCGTTGCCACCATTGCATACTAATAGAAGCCCAGGCCAGCTTGGGAGCAATTGCTAGTCTTTGCATTCCAAAACCTTTTTCTGTAGCATCTCTCTGTTTTTTTTCTTTCCATTTCTCATTTTAAAAATAAGTAGTTTTCTTGCTTCTGAAAATAATATTTTTATAGACGTTATCTAAATAATGCTGTAATGTTACCTCCTTTTGGCAATATCTAAATTGGTTGATTAACAGTTGAGTTGCCTTGAATCATGAATAATTACCAAAGAGCTCAGTGACTGACATTAGGAATACTTTGTACTTGCTTATGTTAGTCCCTAAGAATACTGTGATTTTGTCTGCAGGCCTAATTTCAAAGGGCTAAAGTAGCCATGCTACTTACCAGATGTAATTATGTTTGTGAGATTCAAACAGAAGTGCCTCATTTTAGAAATGAGTAGTGCTCATGGCACTGGCACAAAACCTTCTGTCTACTTTAATACCAATCCACATGCTCTAGTGGTGTATGCCCTGGCAGGCCACCTCCTGCCTGACTGGCTTTGTACAGACCTCAAGTCAGCAAACTGTAAAAGGCCAAAATACTTGCAGAACACATATGTCTCTGTCACATATTCTCTGGTGTTGTTTTTTTTAACAATGGTATACAAATACAAAACCTATGTTTGGCTTGCCTCTACCAAAATGGGCTATCAGCTGGATTTGATCACAGGCCATCATTGGCAGGGCACTGAGAGCTAGCATCATTTTTATGTATGAGTAAACCCTCTGTTCACCCATGTTTTGTTATATCATTATGTAGTGCATTCCATGAGTCCCTTTTGAATTCTGACAGGTATTTTAGATCATCATCTCAATAATATTCTTCAAAATGGCACACATATTTTGTTAAAAAAACTTGAAATGTAAATGCTGTGTGTGTTCTGTAAAAGTTACATATTTCAAAAATGAAAGTCTTACAAAAAGTTTTAAAAAATACAGATGGCTGTCTTCTAAAGAAACAAACAACAAACAAAACAATGCAACCTGCTACTCTCATACCACCCAGTCCTACTATGGCAACAAGCAATAGTCCTGGGCTTCCTATGGTAAAGTCCGTAGAAATCATTTATCCCAGATAGCAAGCTCTAAAAGACAGCTTCTGTCATTTCTCAGGGCTTCTCCAACTGCTTTCCAAAGGAAGGTTCTTTTTGTATCAGTGATTTCTGGTCTCACTATCCAGTCAAAATCACTGGGTCTCTCAACTATAAAACAGAAATAAATCTCCAAGTGCTCAGGTTAGTGCTGGGTGCTGGTGGCTCACACCAGTAATCCCAACTACTCCAGAGGCTGAGATCTGAAGATACAATTCAAAGCTAGCCTAGGCAGGAGAGTCTGTGAGACTCTTATCTACAATTAAGTACCAAAAAGCTGGAAGTAAAGCTGTGGCTCAAGTGTTAGAGTGCTAGCCTTGAGCAAAAAAGTCTCAGGGACAGTGCCCAAGCCTTGAGTTTAAGCCCCAGGACTGGCACACACACAAAAAGACTACAGACCCAAAAGCAGGCAGCTCAGGACCAGACCCTGAGTGCCAATTCAGAACTATGGCACCAGAGACAAACCATTCAATTCTGTGATTCTGTTCTCTGCACTTTATAATTTACAATGATAACAGAAACAAATGAATATAAAAAGCACCCACAGTAGCACATTGTATTTAACATGTTCATTATGAGCATCTTAAAAACCTGTTTTAAGAAATGCACGTACACACAGGATTAATCACAATCCTCTACTCAAGATACGGTATCAGTATTGAGCCACATATGGGTCCTCATCCTTATTGAAAATTCATTCATTCACTTTTTTCTGAGAGGTTCTCACTATATAGTGATTCTAAACCTGCCTCCATCTCCCAAGTGCTGGGATTTCAGCTTGTGCCAACATGCTCAGTTCATTTACACTAAAACATTCTGTTGCTACTATAAAGGTACTATACAGAGCAGTTACAGTTACTCAAGTCAGGTAATGAGTGCATTTCCTTTTGCCTCCCAGTCTTTTCTCCCGTCCCCACCCACAAGTTGTATAGTTCATTTTCAGCATAGTGTCTAGTGAGAACCATGGCTGCATCTGTTCACCCTACGTCCCCCCATTTGTGTCATTTACACTTAAGTACAATTAAGGACTGTTAATATATCATCTCATCCCCAAACTAGAATATTCCTAGTAACTCACATCAACCTATGATTTCTTTTCTGTCCATGCTCCAGCCTTTCCTGCAGAGGTAGCTATATTTTGGGATTTTATTAAAAATATTTTTTTGTCAGCTGCGGGGCTGTCCCTGAGTTCTTTTGCTCAAGGCTAGCACTCTATCACTTTGACTCACAGCACAATTTCCAGGTTTTGAGTGGTTATTTGGAGATAAGAGTCTCATGGGGACTTTTCTGCCCAGGCTGGCTTCGAACCACGATCCTCAGATCTCATCCTCCTGAGTAGCTAAGATTACAGGCATGAGTCACTGGCACCCATCTTAAATTTTTTAATATAATATTATTGTGTTGTACAGAGGTGGATTTTATTTATTGTTCTCTCACCCTATCAATACTCTAACATTTCATTTGTAGTTAGTATTGTTTTTGCTCAAGGAACTGTGGGGACTGAGTGGTGTTCTTATCCTATACTTGAAATGCCCTCCTTAATTCAGCCCTTAAGTTAATCTAATAACTTGAGTTTCTGAGACCAGCAAATTTTAGCAGGTTGAACTAGACTTTATATCTCCCATATTTTAAGCCCACTTGACTCTAAAATTTAGTCATTCATATATTTTTTTTGTCGGTCATGGGGCTTGAACTCTGGGCCTGGGCACTGTCCCTCAGCTCTTCAGCTCAAGCGAGCGCTCTACCACTTGAGCTACAGCGCCACTCATTCATATTTTTTGAAAATTTCTTGTCCTTCAATGAAAAGTCTAAAAATTTTTACCAAGGGGAAGTGCTGGGGAGAAGAAAGTGGGAGAAAAACAAAGGGGTAACAGGTTCAACAGGAAGTATACTCATTACTTTATGTATATAACTATAACCCCTCTGTACATCACCTTTACAATAAAATAAAAATAAAAAATACATTAAAACTAGAATATATAAAAATTCTATAAAAATCATCCTTACTATATTAATGTACCAATATATTAATTTTATAGTAAATATTGTTTATTTTATGTTGATACCAAAGTTTAGGCTAGATAGTAAGTGTGGGAGAGGGCCCAAAGCTGAGACTCTCAAGAGTAAAAAAGACATGATAAAAACCAAACTCAAATTTTCTTCCATTTCATACAACATCAAGCAAAATAAACTGGATAAAGTTCATTCTTCCAGTCAATAAATTTTATTTAGCTCCTATTACAAGCCAGGCATTTAAAAAAGGCATTCAATGATCAGAAACCACTGGCTTTCTCCCTGCCTTACCTGTCCTGGCATATGCCTGGGTGGAGCCTGGCACCCGGGTGCTTGCTGTGTTGCTGCTTTGGGGCTGTTCTGACCTCCGGACCAATTCTGGCAGAGTGTTCGGCGCCTGCTCCGTCAGCAGTTGCTCTGATGGCTGTTCTATGACGCTGATTCCTGGCCTCAACCATTGCCAACAAGCGTGGAATTGGCTCACAACTTGGTACAGTCTAGTCACTAAACAACACTGAAAGTGCCTAAAGTTTGACTGAAAAGCTATCAAAGCCTCTACAGTTCTTTTATGGATGGCTTCAAGATTTTCTTCTTGGCTATGTTGATGATCAATACATGGATTTGTTGTAGTATCTGAAAGCTCTGATGTGCGTAGCATCATTACAACTTGACCCTCTCTATGGGAAGGAGGTATTCTCAGAGGAAGTGGGCTCCACAACACATATTCTGGAAGATAATGAGCAGAACTGTATGAGATAAAAGGACAGCAAGACCTCAAGGACTTGCAGATATTACATAGAGACACTTACAAATGGCCTACTGCTTAGACTGGACAGCAGGATGGAGGTGGTCTGAAGTAAAGAGAGTTAATTAGTGTCATACAAATGCCTAAATACACATTGATGGAATATTTGTGTATTCACAGAGATGTTGCTTTAGTTCTATTCTCAAGTCTGGAAAATCTTTGGAAAGGTTGGAGGTATGTCAGAAATGGCACTAAGAGGAAGAAAGACTTGCACTGTTAGCCACAATGAATAAAACTAATTTGATAACAAAGAAATTGTTTTCAAAGCTGGGTGCTGATGGCTCATGCTGTAATCCTAGCTACTCAGTAGGCTGAGGTTTGAGGATCATGGTTCAAAGCTGTCCAGGCAGGAAAGACCATGAGACTCTTATCTCCAATTAACCACTGGAAAACCAGAAGTGGTGCTGTGGTTCAAGTTGTAGAGTGCTCACCTTGAGCTGAAGAGCTCAGGGACAGCACCCAGGCCCAGAGTTTAAGCCCCATGACTGACCAAAAAAAAAAGAAAAGAAAGAAAGAAATTGTTTCATTAAAAGACACAAATGAGTTAAAACAAATACATTATGCAGGATGAGAAAAAAATGCAATATATGTGTATGTATGTATATCCTCTAAAGTACTACAAAAAAAACAGGACATATATACAAACTACATAAAGAACTCATACAAAACAAAAAAAAGCAAAAATGTAAAACGATGTGAATTGGCATTATACAAAAGTTGATAGTTATATGACCAATAAACAAAGTATGGCTCAACTCTTTTGGTCTACAGAGATGTACAGTGAAATCACTAGTGGGAGACAAAGTACCTTCCAAGAGATCCAAAAGGACTGCAGAAATGGGATCACAATAGCAGAGATATTAAACTGCAATTCTAAAAAGAAAAGAGCATGATTATTTGTTGAATGAAAGAAAAGAGGCCCAGAACACTTCCCCAATTACATGGTTCAGTTTATCCCAAACAGGCAAAATAAATAGTAGGTCTTAGAAATCAAAGCTGTAATCACTGAGGACTGTGACTGAAAAAAGAAGTGCTGAGCAGGGAGGGACAGAACCACAGTAGAGGTGGGGGCATGGGGAGGAAGGGCAGGGTGAGGTGATGGAGGATGTGGGGAGTACTGGAGGTAGGTGGGGCTACAGAGCTGAAGAAAGTGGGGTCCAAATGAGGAAGAAGGGCAGAGAGAAGGAGCTTTGAGGAGTGGGATGGATCTGAGGTAGAGGAGGAAGGTCAGGAATGGTAAGCAGCAAGGGGAGGCGTGGGGAAGAGAATGAACAGGGCTGAGAGAGAAGGTGGGGTCTGGCTGAGGAGAAAGGGCTGGTATAGAGTGCTGAGGGTAGAGGCTGGGTGGGAGCACAGAGGAGGAGGCCTGAGGGTAGAGGTTGGGTGGGGAGCACAGAAAAAGAGGCCCTGAGGGTAGAGCCTGGGTGGGGAGCACAAAGGAGGAGGACGGAGGGTAGAGGCTGGGAGCACAGAGAGGAGGACCAAGAGTAGAGGATGGGTGGGGAACAGAAAAGGGAGGCTTACAGGATTGGGGTCACTGTGCCCACTGTACCCTGACTCCCAGCAGGGGTGGAGGGTTGACTGCCGTATTGGGCTCGCGCTCAGGGCTGACTTAGGCAGAGTCCACTGACTTATAGCGCCGGACCCTATGTGCTCCCTGCTTGGAAAGGCTGAACCCTTCCCAGTGGGCCTGGAGCCTGGCCCTTCCCCAGGTCTTTCAGACCCCAGTCCCACGGCCAGGCCACCCTGCCCTTTGCTCCCAGAGGTACTGGCTTCACCCAGGCCTGTCCAGACCAGCTCCAGTTCACCCAGGCCTCGCCTGGGCCCCGCCCCCAGCCCGGCCCATGCCTCCCCTCCACCCTACCCAAGCCTTCCTCAGCCCCGCCCATCCCACTCACAGTTCGGCCAAGGCCTTGCTTTGCCCCACCCCGCCTATCCCTCCCCTTGGCCACGCCCAGACCTCATCTCGGCCCCGCCCAGGCCTCCCCTCAGCCCCGCCCAGGCCTCCCCTCAGCCCCGCCCATCCCTCCCCTCAGCCCCGCCCAGGCCTCCCCTCAGCCCCGCCCAGGCCTCCCCTCAGCCCCGCCCAGGCCTCCCCTCAGCCCCGCCCAGGCCTCGCCACAATCCTGCTCTGCAGCCCAGGCCTCACCTCAGCCGGGTGGGGCCTCGCCTCAGTCCAGGTCTAGGCCTCTCCTCAGTCCGGGTCGGGGCCTCGCCTCAGTCTGGGTCGGGCCTAGCCTCAGGTCCCGGCCTCACTCCCTCACTGGCCACAGCCGGGCCTCATCCACACCCACGCGGCCCCCAGGACCAGGCCTTGCCCTGGGCTCACTATGCTCGGGGCCAGGCCTGGCCTCTCACAAGGCTGTTAGCCAGGCCTCACCTGTGCCCCTGGCTGGCGTTCGCTCGGCCTCACGACGGGACGACGCTCTCGCCTGACTGACGGATGGCGGATGAGGACAAATGCCGTTAAACCTTGGGACGCATGCGCAGGCTTTACCACTGCGCGTGTGGTGGTGTCTGCGCCAATCCGTGGTCCCTTCCGCCGGAAGGGTGGACCTGGGCACGGCCTGCGTGGGCCTGCTGGGGGCCGGGGCCTGTGTGGGGCCTGGTCCTGGGGCCTGGTCCTGGGGCCTGGTCCTGGGGCCTGTGGGGCCTGTAGGGCCTGTGTGGGCCTGGGGCTTGGGGCCTGTGTGCTGTGTGGGGCTGGGGCCTGTGGCCTGCGGCCTGTGTGGAGCCTGTGTGTGGGCTGTGTGGGCCTGTGGGACCTGTGTGGGGCCTGTGTGGGGGGGCTGTGTGGGCCTGGGGCCTATGTGGGGGCTGTGTGGGGCTTGGGGTCTATGTGGGGGCTGTGTGGGACCTGTGTGGGCCTGTGTGGGCCTGTGTGGGGCCTGCTGTGGGGCCTGCTGTGGGCTGGAGCCTGCTCTGGGCAGGGGACTACTGTGGGCCATGGCCTGGGGCCTGCATGGGGCTTCCAGTGGTCTGGTATCCGGGTCTGGGGCCTGAGTACTGTGGTTTCCCTGCAGTTCAATGCCTTGTGTGACTTGGCTAGATGGAAACTTCCTTCTGCCACTTGTGCTTCATTGACTGGCTTTCTCATTACCTCCCCCTCTCCTGAATACAGTTAAGAACTCTGGCTTTCAAATGTCCTCCTGAGGGGACACTGCACCCGGCGAGACCTGATTCCAGTCCCCAGCTGCAGCTTTGAGTCTCTCTCAGTTAACTTGGAGAGTCACCAGTTTATCTGGGTGTGTGGTGACTCACACCTGTAATCCCAGCTACTTGGGAGGTAGAGATAGGAGGACTGATTCTTGAGGATGGCTTGAGGAAAAAGTTTGTGAGAGCCCCATCCTCACTTACAAAGCTGAGTTTGATAATGCCATGTGTCATCACTGCTAGGTGAGTATGGCAGCCTGGGTAGGCTGGCCTAATAAGGAGAGATGCCGTTTGAAAGGCAATTTCAAAACACTGTGCAACTGTGTCTGAAGACAGCATAAAGGAGCCAATGGGGAGTTAGGTAGTAGGAAAAAGAGCACAGCTGGACACGATGACTCATGCATAGAATTTTTCTTAAGCAGATATTATTTGTTTGAGTCCTTGCTGAGGTCATTGGGTTGTTTCTGTGGTACTGAGGATTGAACTTGAGCTTCCTGTTTGCTGGGCTGGTGCTTTGTCACTTAGGCCATACCTTTAGCCTCAGTAGGATGGAGATTGGGAGGATCTTGGTTCAAGGTCAATCCAGGCAAAAACTTGTGAGATCTCCCACCCCAACAGAAAAGGCTAGGTGTAGAGGCCCAGTGGTGGCTTGCACCTGTAATCCTAGCTGCCTGGGAGGCTGAGATCTGGAAGATCACAGTTTTAGTCCAGTCCAGGCATACATAGGAGGCCTATTCCCCACTGATAGCTGGGTGCTGTGTTGTGTGCCTGTCACCGTGACAGTAAGCCTAAATGCACAGACTTAGGTCCAGGTGTGCATCTAGAAAGAAAGGGGGGAGACCCTATCTAAAAAATACCTCCCCGCAACACGGCTGGCAGTGTAGGTCAACAGTGCCTGCAGCACTTCTACTCACTCTTCTACTCAAAGCACAATGAATGCCAGGCACCCATGGCTCACACCTGTCAACTACTCAGGAGACTAAGATCTGAGAACCAAGGTTCAAAGCTGTGCAAGAAGGTCTGTGAGATTTTTATCTTCAACTAACCACCAGAAAACTAGAAGTGGTGCTGTGGCTCAATGTGGTAGAGCACTAGCCTTGAGCAAAAGAGCTCAGGGTCAGCGTCCAAGCCTTGAGTTCAAGTCCCATGACTGACATAAAAGCTGAATGAGATGTGTAAGCCGAACATTTTAGGCTCAAGGAAATGCCAAGTTCTTGGATGTTAAGGAGATACTAAGTTTTTGGACTTATAATTTTGACAAACAATCTCCCCCACATACACTCACTCACACATATTTAACTCCAAACACTTTAAATGGACAAAAGACTGAGAAATACCTTATTTTTAACTTTATTTTTATTGATGACACTATTACAGGTAGAACAACTACAACCATATTAACGAACCAAAAGCTTGTGCACAGAGACAAGATGAATACGTCAAGATGTTAACCACGGCCTTTGGACGGTGAAAATATGGCGAGTTTCTTCTACATTGCCACAGCTTCAAGGTTTCTATAATGAACAGATACTGCATATATAATGAGATATATGATAATAGAAGCAAACTACCCAAACACTATGAGAAAGATCACTCAGAAAAACTGAGGCAGTACAGCAAAGGGCAATTCCACAACAACCACAGAGCTAGCTCTTGATTTGTCTCCAGATTTCTTCCTGTCTTTCACACTTGTGCATCTTATCACAGATCAAGGTGGTAACGCTAATTGTTGGGAGCACAAGTGGATTTCCTTCTACTTTACTGAATTGCCCAGTTTTCTATGAGCATGTATTGAGTTTGTCATGGAAAAATACGTACATAAAGCTTGTTACCAAAAGGCCAAAGATTATTCTAGAAATTTGGAACAAAATATTTAACCATAATCCCACGACACGATTTTAATTATTTTCCACATTTCTTTTCATTTTAGACTTTATGTAGACATATTTAACACTGTTCTAGTCACAAGATTGTGCACGGATACAAGATGGAGGAAATACAATGATCTTAATGGTAGTTGTTGGATGTTGGGGAATATGGATTGATTTTTTTTCCCTTTCCTAAATTTTCTCTATTTTCCAATTTCTCCTCAGGGTGTGTATGATGCTTGAAATAGTGACATATAGAACAAATGCTGTTACCAGGACATTATTTTAAAGGAGAAAATAGTGATGAAGGTATTTAGTCATAATTCCACGAGTAATTTAACAGGTATCTTGAATACACATTTTGACAGTTATAATCATAAACGTGCACAGAGACAAGAATGATATTGAAGAATATATCTGTCTTTGGATGGTCAGGGGGTGGATAGTTTTTTCCTCCACTTTTCTGTTTTCCAAATGATTTATAGTGAGTTCAAATCATGTTCACAATGGAAATAGGACCATTAACTTTGTACTAACACTACCATGAAAGGACATTCAAGAAAGTTAAGAAAATAATGTTCGACTATATGCCTACAACACAATAGCTTTTGACTATAAGCATACCTCTTTAAACAGTTATAATTGTAGTATAAATATAATTTTGTGTCCTGCTTTCTCCACGTACTATTCTGTAAATATATTTCCATTGCTACATAACTCTTTGTGATTATCATTTTTAAACAGCTGCAAGAGTTGAAGGGTACATTTACTTAATCGTTCTGCTGTTTGGCATTGATACTGTTCCTGCACTTCCACTCAAAATTGGAATGGACACCCTAACTTCTTGGCAAGTTTCTTTCTGAAAGCCAGCAATAACAAACCCCCAAATTCATACCAATGCAGCGTACCCACCGCTCCTCAGTTTCCCTGGGTGTCAGTTCCAACCTTGTGTCTTTCTATGCTGACAACCTTCAACTTCTTCCAAACTGCCCAGGACACTGCTCAATTCGTTCTTGCCACCCCGGCCTCCAGCCCGCTCCTTCCCCTCCCAGGCCCCGGGCGTGCAAGCGTGTGTGTGTGTGAGGAGCCCCCTCTTTGGCGTTCTTGTTCCTGGAGCTCAGCTCTCCCACCTCCCTGGGCTCTGGCACTCCCTCATCCTCACACTTCCCACACACCTTGCCTTGCCTACAGACCTGGAGGAGGAAGAGCCCGACGTGTAGCACTTGTCAGACGCCTGCACTCACGTCTGTACTCTTCTCCACAGATCTCTTTCCTTTTTTTTTGAATTTTTTAAATTTTAAATTTTTTTTTTCCCCAGCCAACTCAAGGCCAACATTTTTTTGTTTATCTAGCCATTACGCGAGGGGAGGGGAAGCAAAGGAGCAAAGGAGGACATAGGGACCCCAAGTTCTGAGGCCAATTTGTGATTAAGAGGAAAAATCAGGTCAGAGAACACGACACAAAATTGACAGCTCAGAAATGCGCAGGAAGCTTGAAAGAGAAGGATCAAAGGCAGCAAAGCAAATCAAGGCTGCTGGGGAGCTGAGTCCATAGCACAAGCTTGGGTTGACTACAAAGAAAGCTTTTTTTGTGTGTTTTTGCTTTAAAAAAATTTTTTTTTTAAATGCAAGTTAGACGCAGGGTTACAGACTCAGACAGGTAAAGAACAGGAGAACTGAGCAATAGAAAAGTCTAGAGGCTGGCCCCTGGGCACCCAGGGGTAAGCCGACTTGTGGCAGCATGGAATGAAGCCACCAGGGCTGACGCTGCCAGGACGGTGGGGAGCCGCTCCAGGCTGGCCAGCTCCTCAGGCACTGCTGTGATCTAGCCATGGTTACAACCCATTCTTTAAAGGCAGCGATAAAACATTTACAGGGAAAAGTCTTGATTCACTACTTAACACACACCGAGTTAGCTATTAAAAACAAAACAACACATATAAAAACCCAACTAATATTTGTGTGAGAACCACAGCAAGATAGGTACAATGTGGCTACAAGTGGGCCTGGGTGACAAAGACCGTCGGAGCAAGGAAATGCTCGCGGCTCTGTGGTTTAGGTGCAGATAGACAGGTGCTGGAGGAAGTTCAAACTACTTCTCTCTCAAACACAAAGAGAAGAGACTCCTTCCCGCCCGTGTCTGCACCTCACAAGACAATTGACAAGAGATCAAACACAGCACTCAAAAAGGGAAACTAGTGGGTTCAGTTCAAGCACAGTAAATCTTTTTCAGGATCTAAGACACTTACAAATATATTCTAATTTGTTGCTCTCTTCCTCCTCCAAAAAAGAAAATAAAAATCAGAGAACCAGGAAAGGTACCTCTGCCCAGTAAACTGTGACCGTTTATCACATTAAATCCAAATAAACATGATCCCATTTTGGCTACGATTTGCTCATTTATGTACATGGCAGGAAAAGTCGCTCCAGGGATGGGAGTGACACTGGAAGTTCGCTAAGGTGTGTCTTTAGTCTGGTCCCTCGAGTAGAGGGTGAGGCTGTGCTGCGTGCAGCACCTTTCCCCAGCTGCAGCGGTGGCCACCTTAGCAGCTAGGAGGAAAGGCGGCTTCACGGTCCAGTCTGGGTTGTCTATGCTACCTTGGGTGTGCATGTCCTAAGGTGGTTTCTTGGTATTGGAATAAGTTCAGTTCTCTGTGTTTTGGCACGGTCCAGCTCTGGGCAGGGAGGCGTGGCGGCCCCTTCTGCTCAGCCGGTGTGGGTGTTCTGGTGTCTGGCGAGGGACAGGCGGTCGTTGAAGAGCTGGCCGCAGACGTCACATCTGAAGTACTGGTGGTCAACCCACTGGGCCGCACTGGGGCCTGCGCCCTCTCCTGGGGCGTTGCTGGGCAGGACCAGGCTGGCGTGGGCTCGCAGGTGCTCCCCGAAGGCTGCGCTGGATGTGAAGGTCTCAGTGCACTCCTGGCAGTTGTAGTAAGGCCTCTCCTGCTCCTCGCCCTCCTCCTCGGGGTCTTCGATGCCCGCCGCATCCGGCTCGTCAGCATCCCCCTCAGGCTCCTCCACCCTTTCTTCTGGGTCTTCAATGCCCACACCATCTGGCTCATCAGCATCCCCATTGGGGTGCTCGGCCCCTCCGTTGGGCTGTTCAGCCTCCCCATCTGCCTCAGCCGCCTCTCCATCAGGTCCTTCTGCCTCTCCGTCCGGCTCTGCAGCCTCCACGTCTGGCTCGGCCGCCTCCACCTCTGGCTCAGCCGCCTCCACCTCTGGCTCAGCAGCTTCTACATTTGACCCTTGGATGCGCAGAACTTCCTGCGGAATGAGGACGTTGACTTCAACCTCCTGTGCGGTGGCCGCTTCTTCCTCCTCCTCCTCCTCATCATCATCCTCTTCATCTTCAGGGTCAAACACCGTGTGCTTGGTGAGGATTGTGTCATGCATGAAGGCCTGCCCACAGTCCCTGCACTCATAGAAGGGCCCGGGCCGCCGGAGGGGCTCAGTGAGGAATGAGGCATGGGTGAAGGAGGCCCCGTACTCATAGGGCTCATCCTTGTGCACCTTGGTGTGGTGGTCTCCCAGCTGCTTGGCTGTGAAGAAGCACTCTCCACAGACGGTGCACTCGAAGAGCTTCTCCTCGGTTTCACTGCCCTGGAACTCGGTGAGGGCCAGGGTCTGGATAAAGATCTCCTCGCCCCCTTCCGTTTGCTCCAGGAACTCTTCATCCCTGTGGTGCCGCAGGTGCTCGTTGAGGGCTGAGCTGTGGATGAAGCCCTGCCCACACTGCAGGCAGCGGATGGCCGCCCCCGCCACGGCGGGGTTCCTCTCAGCAGCTCGGCTCCTCCTCGACTTCACTGGCAAGAGGCAGATAAAACCATCATCGCAACCCTTCACAGAATACAACTGATCTTGCTCATGGACTCTCTGATGCTCAAACAGGAAGGAGCTATGGATAAAAGACTCACCACACTTGGGGCACTCAAAGAGCTGCTCTCCAGCGCACTCCTTCTGGTACTCACTGAGGGAATGCATGTGTACATCTGAGAGCGCGTATTCACGGCTGTCAACGAGGCACTTCCTGCTGTGCACGTCCTGATGGCTTGTGAGGTCTGTGAGGTACACGAAGCCCAGCCCACATTCCTGACATTCATAGATGGTGTCTTCAGGCTCATCCTTCTGCTCATCCGAGCTTGACACCTGGCTGATAGTGTCCTCACCTGTCTCCTGATCTTGGCTCTCCTGGTCATCCATCTCCTGACCCTGGCTTTCCTCACTGTTGATCCCCTGATCACAGGTGTCTTCACAGTGGGTCTCCTGAGCATCCATCTCATGACTCTGGGTCTCCTGAGCATCCATCTCCTGATCCTGGATCTCCTGAACATCTATCTCCTGATCCTGGATCACCTGAATATCTATCTCTTGATCCTGGCTCTCCTGAACATATATCTCCTGAACATCTATCTCCTGATCTTGGATCTCCTGATCATCCATCTTCTGATCTTGGATCTCCTGACCATCTATCTCCTGATCCTGGATCTCCTGACTGTCCATCTTTTGATCCTGGATCTCATGACTGTCCATCTTCTGCTCCTGGGTCTCTTGATCATCCATCTTCTGCTCCTGGGCCTCCTGACCATCCATCTTCTGCTCCTGAGTCTCCTGACTGTCCATCTTCTGCTCCTGGGTCTGACCTTGGGTCTTCTCAGCATAGGTTTCCTCCCCAGGAGTCTTCTCTTGGGTACAGATGTTCCATTGCACAGGGAGGCTGTTGTTGGTAGCAGACTTGTTGGATTTGTCATGTGCTTGTTCTTCAGCATACTGCTTTTGGGTATAACTTGTCTGAGGACTAGTAGTGGTCATGCTGTGATTGATAGATCGCTCATAGTACCCACTTCCAGAGGGCTTTTCTCGGTCATGAATCTTCTGGTGCTCAATGAGGTCAGAGCTACGATAAAAGGACTCGCCACACTCCTGGCATTCGTAGAGCTTTTCTCTAGGGCGAACTATTGGCAGCTCACCAAAAGGTAGGGAATGATAGACAGTGGGCTCAATGTACTTCTTCTTGGCACGAGCTTTCTGGTGGCTGCGGACACTGGTGGTGGGGACTGAAAAGACACCATCTTGTTTGAATTCACGTGCTCTGTCTCCAGCAAGGCTTCTTTGAGGCTCTGCATAGGATGTGCTTGGCATGGTGGCATCTCTGTAATCATTACTATCCCCATCATAAGGGCTCTCTCTGGCAGGAATCTTCTGGCGCTTGTTGTGGAGGTCTGAGAGGTAAGTGGAGGACTCTCCCTTCTCATCACAGCCTGCCTCTTTGTTAACATAGTAACGCTTCAGAGATCTGGGAATAGCCAGGCTACGGGTAATGGAAGCCAAGTATTCCTTCCCTGCAGAGGAATTCTCTCCAAAACGGGCTTTCATGTAGTTGGGGACCTCTGAGCTGTGCGTGGCGGGCATTGCGGGCACTGTGGGTTTAGTGAACCCAGCCACACTTTTCTGAGCTTCTGCAGAGCCTAAGCGGTGAGTATTAGATTTCTCATAGAACTTCCCCTCGTAGGCATTTTCCTTCGTGGGAGGTGTCTGGGCTTCATCAGGATTAGAGCTGATGGTGAATGCCTTCTTCTCTTCCTCATCCTCAGGTGGTCTCGTGATGGTGTGACTCTTCTGAGATTCAGTGAAGGGCATGCTATGCACAGCAGACTTCTCATATCCACGGCCATTGAAGAAGTTCTTTCGAGAATGAATTTTCTGCTGCTCACTGAGGTCTGCATTTTGCATAAAGGGATCCCGGCCATCTTTAACGTCAAAGAACTTCTCCTTGGTGTAAGTTTTCTGACGTCTTTTGAGGGATGGGCTAGGTGTGAAGGCCCCCTCACAGGCTGGGCTCTTGCTTTCGAATGGGTTTCCCCTGGCATGGATTTTGAGGTGCTCTTTCAGAGAGGAGCTGTGGAGGAAGGAGTCCCCACACACCTTGCACTCGTAGATCTTGTTTTTGCCATACATTTTCTGAAATTCTCTCAGGGCTGCGCCGGGCATGAAGGCTGCCCCACGCCCTGGCTCATGGTCACGCTCACTGGCCTCATCTCCACCACAGCTCCCTACCTCATGGACTTTCTGGTGCTCAATGAGGGCAGAACTGTGAAGGAAGGTTTCCTTACACACACGACACTCATAGAATTTGTCTTTGCCATACATCTTCTGAAGCTCACTGAAGGTTGGGCTGGGCAGGGCCTGCTCCTCACTCTCCTGGTCCTTACACTCAGCCAGGTACTCTCTGGCATGGATTCTGCGGTGCTCCGCCAGGGCGGCGCTCTTAGTGAAGGCTTCCCCACACTCTCTACACTCAAAGCGTTTCCCTCCACTCTGATGACTCTGGCTCGGACCCTCACTGGGAGTAGAGCTCTGAACGAAGGACTCGCCATACTCATAGAGATTCTCCCTCGTATGCATGATCTGGTGTTCCACGAACTCTGATATGACGGTAAAGGAGCGCCCACACTCGTCACACACGTAGGGTGTCGCCCCCAGGTCACTGGGCTGTGACTCTGAGGAGGAGGCTGAGGCCAGGCTGCTCGTGCCCGTGGCCCTTCTCATTTCACTGCCACACTCAAAGGGCTTCTTCCTGGCACTGCCCTTATGCTCATGAGCCCCGCTCTTCCCCTCTGTGTCAAAATGATAGCGCCTTTTCCTCTCCAGAGCCCTCCTTCTAGAGATCAGGTTGGGGTTGAACCTGAAGCCTCCCCTAAATGCGCTCCCCTCATAGCCCCTCTGAGGGGCCAGTGGCTCCCTGCGGTTTAACGAACTGTCCCTCCAGTGGTCATCTGGCACTCTGGGGAACCTCTGCAGCCGATCATTCGGCTCCCTGGCTCTTCCCGACCGGGAGCCGTGTGCTGCATCCTTGATGAATTTTTCCATGATCACTCCGTGAGAAGACTCATCCTCACAGATCCCCCGACGGTGGCTTGGCTTTTTGGCTTCAGGCATAATTTTCAGACCTGGAAAGAAACCCTAAATGTAAATACTCCCTAGCCCTCCACACTTGCACAAAACAATGGTGGACTTGTCTGCGAAATGTTGGAATGTCAAGTGTGAGTGAGCTATGTGTGGCCTAGGGCCGAGGGGGCCTCTGGGGGCCGCCCAGGCACTCACCGCGACTGGTGCTCGGGTAGGCACTTCGCTTGGCTCTGGAGGAGTGGCCTTGTGTCATGTGGGAGTGGCGGTCATCTTCAGCAAGCTGCACCCCTGCTCACAAGAACAATACCACAGCTCAGACTTGGCTGGAGGATGGACTTGTGCCCTCCTTCTCTGAGGCATTAAATAGGAAGTGGCATTCTTCAGATGTCTCTCACTCATCTCATTTCCCCACTATCCATTCTTCATCCCATTCCAATCTGCATTTTAATCCTTTTCCGTGCTGATACACTCAAGTTTGTCAACCTCCCTAGGAGTCCACACAGGAGAGCATCTCCTTTAGCCTTTTTCTGCAACCTCTTTTTCAGTGGCCTCTGTGGTTTTCCTATTCTTTTTTTTTGCTTTGATTTTACTTTTTTATGTTTTTGAGACAGGGTTTCAATATGGACCTGGGCTGGCCTCATACTTATAATCCTCCTGTCTCAGCTTGATGAACACTGAAATTTCAGGAATATGCCACTATGCCAGGCTCCTCCTCCTCCTCTTCCATATTCTTTTTTTTTTTTTTTGGTCAGTTGTGGGGCTTGAACTCTGGCCTGGGTGCTGTCCCTCAGCTCATCAGCTCAAGACCAGCACTCTACTACTTGAGCCATAGTGCCACTTCCAGTTTTCTTGTAGTTTATTGAAGATAAGAGTGTCACAGACCTTCCTGGTTGGGCTGGCTTTGAACCGTGATCCTCAGATCTCAGCTTCCTCAGTAGCTAGGATGACAGTTGTGAGCCACCAGTGCCCAGCTTTGATATTCTTTTTTTTTTTTTTTTTTTTGCCAGTCCTGGGCTTGAACTCTAGGTCTGGGCGCTGTCCCTCAGCTCTTCAGCTCAAGGCAAGCACCCTACCACTTGAGCCACAGCGCCACTTCTGGCTTTTTCTGCTTATGTGGTGCTGAGGAATCGAACCCAGGGCCTCATGCATGCAAGGCAAGCACTCTGCCACTGAGCCACCTTCCCAGCCCTGATATTCTTTATCTACCTCAGCACCAGAGCTCTGCATGGCCCCATAGCTATAGACCTGCACACTCAGGTGCTTGTTACAACTAGACTACATGCCGTCTGGAAGAGTCTACCTAGAATACAAGATCCCATTGTAAAGGTGCTTTAAAATCCCTGCTTTCATTACTCTAGAAAAAGTATCAACTCTGGCTAGAGCTATGCCTGTTTCACCTAGGCCCAGGTATGATGTATTCTTCAACCAAAGCCAGAGAGGTTTCTTTAAAAAAAGAAGTCTGCTCACTCACTTCCCTATTTAAAAACCGTCCCAGGTGTTTTTCGTGTCCATCAAGACACGGTGCATTGACATGGACCCATCCTTCCTCCGCCCGGGACAAGTAGGGGGACAGCACCCTCCCACGGCCTCGGGGGCCGTCACTCACCCAGTGACAGCAGCTTCCTGTAGTTCTCCATGTTGTCCTGGATCGGGTTCTGAGACTTCCTGTCCTCGCTGGCCTCCATAACACTCCGGTATGACTCGGCATCCTGCAACAGCAAATGCAGAGCGCTCAGTGAGTGTCTGTCCCACGGACGACCAGAGAGAGAACAAGGGTGGCAGCAAGGGGCTACATACATGAAGTCATAGAGGAAGTGCTCACAGTGTTTGGGGTCTGAGTGATCCAAGTGTGACTAGGGGCCTACGTTGTACCTACCTTGGTGCTACACTCTGAGGCAGATCCCAAAGACGCATGACACATATTCCTTGCCCTCATGCAGCTTATAATTTGGTTGGAGAGAAAAGACTCATGAAACAATTAGAGAACAGTAAACAGTAAATGGGGATACAGATAATCAATGCTAAATGGGCTTTGTGGAAGGAGAGTTCAGGGTGGTCCTGAGCAGGAGCAAAGGCTTTGCCGAGGGCTCTGGGCGGCAGGTGGGAGGGTTCAGTGTGCACCGCAGGGACTGGCAGGAAAGCGTGAGCAGGCCAAGTATGGACATGCACAGGGCACCCACGGAGCAGTCGTGCCAGGCAGGTATCTGGTCCGGGCGTGTGCTACACGCTCCATCCCTGTTCCTCCACTCCACAGCAAGGCCAAATGGAGGCTTCCAGTGTGAGGCCTTCCACATGGCATGGGATAACTGCATGCATCAGAGGCTTTCATCTACAACTACCACTTGTTTTAATAGCTACTTCTCCAAAGAGATTGAAACTCCTTTCAGGAGATTGTTCTATTGTAGCATCCTTAAAGGATTTTGCTGTCGCTGGGGCTGAACTAGAATTGCAACCCCCTTGGCAAGGTTTGGCTCCGGGAGGATGACCCTGAGGTGTGAAAAGGTACTAGAAGAGGGAGACCCTGCCGTGGGCTCCACCTTGTGGAGCTGGAGAGCACCTAAGGATCCAGGGAGGACTGCACCATGGGCAGGCGGACACAGCCTCAGACACAGCAATCTGGCAGGTCCTCAGGTTCCTCACTGTGAAATGGAGGGAGGGCACCTGTGAGCCTTGAGACACTATCATGTGGGATTTCTGCAGTGGGATGTGTTGATTAAATATTAAGAAAAGGGATGGAAAGGAAATTTATTCGTTCTGACACCATAGCAGCATGGAAAATGTAAAGGAGAGGAGCTCTGCAAAGTCAAAGGCTCCTGTTCCTCAGGAAGTGCACAGGCCATCTGTGTGAGCAGATGTAGGACAAGCGAGGCCCCTGCCTAGGTCCAGGCCTTTAAAGCGGACAACAGCCGAGGTGGAGAAATGACTCAGAGCTTCAGGAAACCTTTTTGTGGTTAAGAAAGTAATCATAAAATTCTGGAGGTGTGGCAGAACTAGCACACTGCCCTTCCTAAGGCTGGCTTTTCTTGGGTGCCCATCTTCCCCTACCACACAGCAAAGCTCCTGGCAGGCAGGAATTCTGTCCTCATCAAGTTTGGGAAGGGGCCTTGGCTCTTGCTTAACTCAGCAGTGAGTATGTGCCTGGAAGGGCCTGCGGTGGCTGAGGAAGCCAGGGCCGAGGAAGCCAGGGTGGCAGAGGACAGATGCGTCCAGGCCTCAGGAAGGGTTGGAGCGAGGGAGCCACCATCTTGGGCACAGAGCCAATGGCAGATGGGAAATTTCTCGTATTTGTTTATCTACATGCCTGATTTGAATAAAAAATAGTGCATATTAAATTCTCAACTACTGGGGCTGTGAAGGTGGCTCAGAGGTAGCATGCTTGCCTTGCATGCATGAGGCCCTGGGTTCGATTCCTCAGCACCACATAAGCAGAAAAAGCCAGAAGTGGTGCTGTGGCTCAAGTGGTAGAGCGCTAGCCTTGAGCTGAAGAGCTGAGGGACAGCGCCCAAGCCCAGAGTTCAAGCCCCACAACTGACAACAAATAAAAAAATAAAAATAAAAAATAAATTCTCAACTACTTTGATCCTATAAAACAAAAAGGAACTGGGTGCTGGTGGCTCATGCCTGTATCCTAGCTACTCAAGAGGCTGAGATCAGGGCTGGGAAGGTGGCTCAGTGGTAGAGCGCTTGCCTTGCAAGCATGAGGCCCTGGGTTCGATTCCTCAGCACCACATAAGCAGAAAAAGCCGGAAGTGGGGCTGAGGCTCAGGTGGCAGAGTGCTAGCCTTGAGCTCAAGAGCTGAGGGACAGTGTCAGGCCAAGAGTTCAGGCCCTATGACTGACCAAAAAAAAAAAGAAAGAAAGAAAAAAGAAAAAGAAAAAGAGGCTGAGATCTGAGGATCATGGTTCACAGCCAGCCCAGGCAGGAAAGTCCGTGAGACTGATCTCTAATGAACCACCAGAAAACCAGAAGTAGCACTGTAGCTCAAGTGGTAGAGTGCTTTCCTTGAGCTGAAGAGCTGAGGGACAGCACCCAGGCCCACAGTTCAAGACCCACGACCGACCAAAAAAACCAGCCACTGGCAGTAGTGGCCCTGAGACTGTGGCCTGTCATCAGCAATGGCACCTCACTGTCCTTGAGTTGTAGTTAAGGCTGACCAGAGAAGAGGCCCGAGAATGCTGCCAATATTGCACGACCCCATAACGAAGCAGGCTGGCAGAGGAAACAGTCGGTGTACACCTTTAAAACACAACCTGCTGCTCCCGCCTCTACTGCAGTCAGTGGGGACCAGGCTCTCAGACTCTTCACATGTCAAGATGTTTTAAAAACAAAACTAGACAAAAAGCTGGGCACTGGTGGCTCACACCTGTCATCCTAGCTACTTAGGAGGCTGAGATCTGAGAATCTCAGTTCAAAGCCAGCCTGGGCAAGAAAGCCCATGAGACTCTTATTTTCAATAAACCACCAGAAAACCAGAAGTGGCACTGTGGCTCATGTGATAGAGTGCTCACTTTGAGCTGAAGAGCTCAAGGACAGCACCCAGGCCCAGAGTTCAAGCCCCACAACTGACAAAAAGCAAAAAAACTAGACAAAGTCCATCTACAGTCCCCACAGAGTGCCTCTGGGCATCCCCCAATGCTCCCCCATTGGGCAGCTGTCTAGTTCTCACACAGTTCCTGCATCCAGGCCTTTGCCTGACTACTTCCTGGTTCCCATCTGTCCTCACTGTACTTCCCTGCTCCTCAGGGGTCCTTCACTGCAGCCTCCAATGGAGCCACTCCATCCCCCCCCCCCCCCAAACAGATGAAGTGTCATGCCTCTAAGACTTGTTCCTTCCATCCAAACTTCTTGTTAGTGTTCTGTGCTGTGTCCAGGACACCACACTGGACGATTACATATAGTGCTGCTTGTGCGGCTGTTCCTGCACCTGCAGGGCTGGGGTAGGGAGCCCATCTTGGTCCACACTGCTCTTTCCAGGGCCTCCCTATACTCTGCTGAGGGGCAGGCACTTGGCTGAAGAAGCAGGCTCAGCCACTGGTGCCTCTCCCCTGTCTGAGGCTGGGGCTGAGATCCTGGGCTCTCCTTTCACCCTTCTTCAGTATCTAGTTCAAATCCCTCCACCAACCTACTGATTAGTGACTATACAGCCATTAACACAGGGTGCCTCTGTGTGCTGGGAAGCATGGTAGGCATTGTGTGTGCACATGTGTGTGTGTGCATGCATGTGTGCATATGTGAACCTCACCAAGTCTCACAATGGCCTAAGAGCAGTCACCATACTCATTTTACAGATGAGGAAACTGAGGTTTGGCTTAGCTGGTAAACAGCCCAGCCCCACACAGTAGCAGGTGGCAGAGCCAGGCTGGAGCCCAGTTTTCTTCAGCGCCAGTCTTTCCTCTTTGGCCAGGCTGCTTTGCAAGGTGTACCTTCCCTGGCTCTACTTTCTATGTCTCCCGGCTCCCCAGCGACCAAATGCCACATGCTCAGGGGCACAGGGGAACAGGCTGCAGCCACTCAGCCACTGGCCACCAGTGGGAGGGGCCTGACTCCTGGTGAGGCCGAGCAGGGGCTCCCGGCCACAAATGGGCCTCTAAGGGGCAAATGAACAGTGTTGGAGAAATGGAGACAGCCTTCTGGAAAGGGGGGAACCTGAGCATACCTGGGATCGGGACTCGTAATCCATGGAGACACCGTCCTCCTCTCTTTCCATCTGGAAACTTGCCCTGGCCATCACAGGCAGGGAAAGGTCGCGATGAGGCAGCCCTGGGAAGACACTAGGTATCAGGAGCAGCGGAGGCCCAGGCTGGCTCAGCGGGGCTTGGGTTTGTCAGGGTGTAGCTAGTCTTGGGGCTGCATGGAGACAGCCCCAGCCCTGGCCTCTGGCTCCTCATCTCAGAGCTGGGTGGGGTCACACCTCACATTCTTGGGCCCAAGCATAGCACCCGCCAGCCTCTTTCCTGCAGTAGTTGGGCCTATTTATTGGTTTTCTCACCAGGGACCAGAGGTGTGGCCCTGGAGGGTCACCTAGGCACTGAGGCTGGGACTAAGGTCCTGGGCTCTCCTTTCACCCTTCCTCAGTATCTAGCTCAAATCCCTTCACCAACCTACTGATCAGTGACTACATAGCCATTAACACAGGGTGCCTCTGTGCTGGGCAGCATGGTAGGCATATGAGTGTGTGCATACATGCATGCACACGTGAACCTCACTGAGTCTCACAATGGCATAGGAGCAGTCACCACACTCATTTTACAGATGAGGAAACTGAGGTTTGGCTTAGCTGGCAAACAGCCCCGGCCCACACAGTAGCAGTGAATATCACTAGGTGGGAGTCTTCCAAGCCTTTTCTTTCTTTTTTGTCAGTCGTGGGGCTTGAACTCTGGGCCTGGGTGCTGTCCCTCAGCTCTTCAGCTCAAGACTAGCGCTCTATCACTTGAGCCACAGCGCCACTTCCAGCTTTTTCTGCTTATGTGGTGCTGAGGAATCGAACCCAGGGCCTCATGCATTCAAGGTAAGCACTCTACCACTGAGCCACCTTCCCAGCCCCTCGAAGCCTTTTCTTGACCATAAGTTGAGGACGTCCCGCTGCCTAATTAAGAAAAATGTGGAGCACACAGCAGCGCGGGGGAAACAGTGTCTGTGGCACACACTGCTTAGCACCACCGAGGACTATGAAGCCCGAGCTTCAGCCTATGCTTTGAGGACCTGGACTGTGTGGACTGAGCAGTGGGGACTTCTCCCCCAAGTCTGTACACAGCACGTGTGGGAGGCAGCAGCCATGGACTTACTGCCTCTGGGGCTCCTGCTGTGTGCCCAGCGGTCACGCGGCTCCACGTCCCTGCTTCTGCCCCTGCGATCCCAGTCCCCGTCCCGATCCCGGTCCCGGTCGCCTGGAGAGTCAGAAGGCCCTGTGTTTAGTGGGGTGCGTTGACACCGCTGGTTACGCCTCCTCCAGAAGGGAGCACCAGCCTTACTCCTTTTTTGAGAAGATGGATCTGAATCCGAGGGCTACACCCTCCCTGCTCAGACTGGAAGCCTATTCCCTTTGCTGGGCCTCCACTGCCTCCCATTCCTAAGGGTCAAGTACTGAGTTCCATGTCGGCCTTGGGCTGTCAAGTACACATTATTCTATTGTGAAGAGCCAGACCTAAGGAAAGGACACACTGCCCTCTCTGAAAGGTTCTATGGACGTTCCTCCCACAAACTGTCCCAGGAAGCTGGCACAATCTGGAGCAGAGACCAAGTAGCTTTAAACATTTTGCTTTGTAAAAGACCACAGAAACCAGTGTGCAGTTTGATATAAAAAGTTGCCTTTCACTTATTTTTCCCTTAGACCTCAGTGATACTGACCATGAAGAGTAGTTTGCAGAGGGGTCTCCTGGGAGGCAGCTGGAAATGGCCCTGTGGTATACTGTGGTGGGATATCCTGTGGTGGGGTGTCCTCTGGTGGGGTGTCCTGTGGTGAGGTGTCTGTGGTGGGGTGTCTGTGGTGGGGTGGCTGTGGTGAGGTGTCTGTGGTGAGGTGTCTGTGGTGGGGTGTCTGTGGTGGGGTGTCTGTGGTGGGGTGTCTGTGGTGGGGTGTCTGTGGTGGGGTGTCTGTGGTGGGGTGTCTGTGGTGAGGTGTCTGTGGTGGGGTGTCTGTGGTGGGGTGTCTGTGGTGAGGTGTCTGTGGTGAGGTGTCTGTGGTGAGGTGTCTGTGGTGGGGTCTGTGGTGAGGTGTCTGTGGTGGGGTGTCTGTGGTGGGGTGTCTGTGGTGAGGTGTCTGTGGTAGGGTGTCTGTGGTGGGGTGTCTGTGGTGGGGTGTCTGTGGTGGGGTGTCTGTGGTGAGGTGTCTGTGGTGAGGTGTCTGTGGTGGGGGGTCTGTGGTGAGGTGTCTGTGGTGGGGTGTCTGTGGTGGGGTGTCTGTGGTGGGGTGTCTGTGGTGGGGTGTCTGTGGTAGGGTGTCTGTGGTGGGATGTCTGTGGTGAGGTGTCTGTGGTGGGGTGTCTGTGGTGGGATGTCTGTGGTGGGGTGTCTGTGGTAGGGTGTCTGTGGTGAAGGTGTCTGTAGTGGGGTGTTTGTGGTGGGGTGTCTGTGGTGGGGTGTCTGTGGTGAGGTGTCTGTGGTGGGGTATCTGTGGTGGGGTGTCTGTGGTGGGGTGTCTGTGGTGGGGGGTCTGTGGTGAGGTGTCTGTGGTGGGGTGTCTGTGGTGGGGGGTCTGTGGTGGGGTGTCTGTGGTGGGGTGTCTGTGGTGAGGTGTCTGTGGTGGGGTGTCTGTGGTGGGGTGTCTGTGGTGAGGTGTCTGTGGTGGGGTGTCTGTGGTGAGGGGTCTGTGGTGAGGTGTCTGTGGTGAGGTGTCTGTGGTGGGGTCTGTGGTGAGGTGTCTGTGGTGAGGTGTCTGTGGTAGGGTGTCTGTGGTGAGGTGTCTGTGGTGGGGGGTCTGTGGTGGGGTGTCTGTGGTGAGGTGTCTGTGGTAGGGTGTCTGTGGTGGGGTGTCTGTGGTGGGGTGTCTGTGGTGGGGTGTCTGTGGTGGGGTATCTGTGGTGAGGTGTCTGTGGTGGGATGTCTGTGGTGGGGTGTCTGTGGTGGGGTGTCTGTGGTGGGATGTCTGTGGTGGGGTGTCTGTGGTGGGGTGTCTGTGGTAGGGAGTCTGTGGTGGGGTGTCTGTGGTAGGGTGTCTGTGGTGGGATGTCTGTGGTGAGGTGTCTGTGGTGGGGTGTCTGTGGTGGGATGTCTGTGGTGGGGTGTCTGTGGTAGGGTGTCTGTTGTGAAGGTGTCTGTAGTGGGGTGTTTGTGGTGGGGTGGCTGTGGTGGGGTGGCTGTAGTGGGGTGCTCTGGGGTGGAGTGGGGTGCTTTGGGGTGTGGTGTTTTGTGGTGTGGCAGGGTGTTCTGGGGCAGGGTGGGGTGCTCTGGGGCAGAGTGCTCTGGGGTGGGATGTGCTAAGGCAGTGACTGGGCTACTCACTGCTGAAGGAGGGCGCTGGGCGGGCCGGGGGTGTTCCTCCTCGGTTCCACCTCATGTCGCCGTTGCTGTTGGCGTCGTCTGTGGACAGCAGATACAGGCTTATAGCTGCCTCTTCCACTCTACCCTGAGACCAACCCCCCCCCCCCATCATGGAGAGACAGGACCTCCCTTCTCCCCCCATTCCCTATCCCTCCCACAAAGAGATGGGACCTCCCTTCTCTGCCCCCCCCACCCGCAACTGAGAGACAGGACCTCCCTTCTCCCCCACTCCTGCTCCCCCCACAGACGGGAACTCCCTTCTCCCTCCAGACCCTCCACTCTGGCCACTTGACGCCTGAGTAGAGAACATGGCTGCCACTTTGGTCAGTGGCAGGACCCCACCCAAGGGGCCATCTGCCAACCCCACTCCTCTAAATGTAAGTATCTCTTCTTTCTGCCCAGGTGAAGTTCTCAGCCAAGGGTGTTCTGTTCATCAGGGGCCCTTTGAACACATTTTGAGACACGTTTGGGGCATTGAGAGCGTCTCACCTTCACGCTGGTACATCCTGGGATTCTCCAGCAGTGCAACCAGCTTCTCACAGCTGTCTGGCTGTCGAGCTCACACCCAAGGCTTGAGCTTCTCAGGTACTACTCAAGAACCAAGAGCCTGATAATCTCCTTGGTGTGATCTCCGGCTATAACCAATCAAGGCAGAGTTTTCTGAGTGTGGCCAGGGTCCTTTGAGGCCCAACAGAATCCACATAGAATAAGTTCCGAAATCTCTGTGAGACAATTCTAGGATGGCATCCGGCTCGTTAGCCAGGTCACTGTCTTGCTCATAGAGATTTGGGGCCCAGTATTTTTCAGGTTAGGTGGTGAATGAGTGATTTAGAGGTAGCATTTCTCTAAGCAAGGTCCCCACTGGAGGAACCAAACATGAGTCAACAGGAAAGACAAGGCAGCCTGTGACAATCAGTACTGGGGCAACTGTGGATTGTAAGGAGATTTACACATGGCCCACAGGTCAAGGACCAGCCCCACCCACGCTGCCCACAGGCTCTGGGATAAGAGGTGCCCTAACACACACACACACACACACACACACACACGCACACGCACCCACACATGCACACGCACATGCAGGATGCAAGGATGGCTTCTGCACAGAGGGCTGCACAGACACACACAGACCTGTGCTCTGACATGGCAGTGTGACAGCTGGCCACTCCGCTGACAACCCTGGAAACCTGCAGAAGGGGCACCATGGCACCCACATTCTGTTGAGACCCACGAAGCTCCAGGAAGCTAGGGAACCCCGCGGTTCCCCTGCTCAATTCAAAGCACGGGGAACATGTTCCTACTAAAAGTGGGTGTGAGGCTTTTTGTAGGCAAAGGGAAGGGAAGTCACGGAGAGTGGGAGTGAGTCCTGCCATTCATTTCCTCAACATAACTACTGGAAAACAGAATCCAAATGCAAGCATTGACAGCTGGGAGTGCTGTGGTCACAAGCGTCCATTTCTCCAGACCTGTGCCGTCCATGGTCCTGTGCTGGCCCTACGCTGCGATTGCCATTAGAAAGGCAATCAACTGAAAAGTTAGCTCCTCATCTGCACAAGTTCACTTAAGTGCCCAGCAGGTTCAGGGGCTGGTGGCCACCGGGTGGGATGTGAAGAACATCCCCATGCTCACCTCCCTTGGCCTGCTTAGGCTTGCAGGGAGGCTGGGCGCCCTTCTCAAGGGTCTATTTATTTAGGGTTACTTGTTGGCCTCCCAGGGGTCATCTGGGACCTTGTGTAGAAGCACCAGGGAGTTTCCCTGTCACTGCACTCCCCGGTGGCAATGTCTGACACAAAACGGGACATTAGCGCTGCTGTGACACACTGCAAACTGGGCTCGAATGCACAGAGAGAGTATCAGTGAATGCCAGCAGCAGGATAGGTTGTTTCTAGGGAAGACAGAATATCTTGGGCTCAACTTTCTTACCTCAAATTATCTTTCCAACTGAAATTCCGTAAGAATATTCATTCTGGGGCATGAATTCCCCTCCACCTGCTCCCCTTTGTATCTGTACCCATCCTGCCTCAGTTCTTGCACAGCAATGTGCTTAATAATAATTTATTGTGCTTAATATTTTAAGGACTAAAGTCAGGCGCTGGTGGCTCACGCCTGTCTTCCTAGCTACTCAGGAAGCTGAGATCTGAGGATTGTGGTTCAAAGCCAGCCCAGGCAGGAAAGTCTGTGAGACTTTTATCTCCAATAAACTACCAGAAAACCAGAAGTGGGGCTGTGGCTCAAGTGGTAGAACACTCAGCTTCAGCTGAAGAGCTGAGGGATAGCGCCCAGGCCCAGAGTTCAAGTCCCATGACTGAAAAAATAATAACTTAAGGACTATCCAGTGAGTTGGGAGCTGACTGGAATGCATCCCTGGTGGGCTCGGGAACCTCAGTACACTGACGGGAAGATGGATCAGTGCTGGGATGTGCTACATGCAGCACTTTAAGGGGAGATGTGAGGCATGGGCCCCAGACCCTGCTCTTCGGCCTCCACACTACAGAACAGCACAGCCCTGACCCTCCTCGCTGGCACAGAGATGCCCTCAGGTGTATAATCACCTGTCTGGGAATAGAATCCTTCCTGGAACGTCAGACCAAGCAGCTACCTCAGGAACCAAGTCAAAACGTAGGCACCTGCAAACGGTTTAAAGGAAGAGATACATGCACTAAGAAAAAATGGAAGAAATGTAAAAGTGTTAGAGAAGCATCGCACACATGTCCAGGACCAGGGAGGGTGCTGGGGTTCGGCCTCCTCCATCTTCAGAAAAAGCCATTCCCAAGCCACAAGACCAAACCAGGGCTGAGGAATAAGGCTTCCAGTTCTCTTTATTAAACTAGAATGACTTCAAATCCCAAGTCAAAGACAGCACTGGTAATTCATGGACCAAATTTATTCAGGAAGGCAGAAGCGAACAGTTCTGGTGTTTTTCTTTTTCTTTTTTTAAAATTTTTTATTATTTTTTATTTTTTGGTGTTTTTCTTTTTACTGAGTCTACTGGGATTTGAACTCAGGTCTTGCTCTTGCTAAGCTCTATCAATTAAGCCCTAGAAATGAAAGCCTTCAGGGTGATAATATTGGACATTATTCAATGGAGTTCTATCCAAGACACAGAAAAAAGAGGAGATAAGACTATCATTCTCTTTTATAAGATTTTTATCTCATCATAGATATGAATTTCCCTCTCTAATAGGCATGTATTTGAAGCATTTGGTGAACACTGTAAGATCTATGATCTTCAACAGTCAGATAGAAAATCCGCAAATTTTGAAAGAAAATAGTACAGGAAGATGAAAATACAATCCCAGGGAAGAAATCAAAATGTTGAAATAACTTAAGGACTACCCAAATAAAATAAAAAGAAAGTATTTCTGTATTAAAAAAAAAAAAAAGCCTCCCAGAGTCTGCGCTTCATGTGGTAGACAATGAGACGGAGATGACCCCGCCTACTCCCCAGAGCCAAGGTCTGCCTAGTCCCCACACTTCCCCATACCATGTGACTCATGGTGCCAACTGAACCCACCAGCAAACACAAACCAGACAGGGTCTTCCCAGTCTCCCTCTCAGCACCCTACTTCACCCCAGCCAAGCCATCATCTCTCCGAGAGCCCCCTGTGTCTCCCTGTACCCTTGGCCTCCTGTATCTTGCAGCCAGATGATCGATGTGACTGTCGCATGGCTTTTACATGAACATTCTTTGTGTTACTTCAGGAAGCCCAAATACCAGCAATTTGAGGACATTTCACAATGAATTAAAAAACTTACTTTTTCTCGCCTCAGTCGGCTGTCACCGGCTCTTCCTGTGGCTCTTCTTTCTGTGTCCCTTGGGACATCTCTGTCTCCTCTGTCTCCTTCTTCCCTTACAATCCCCACACACAAGGGTTCGGGTTTCACCTCCGAGGCCCCCAGTGACCTCGGGCAGGTCCTGTGTGTCCTCTGAGATTACGTTAGCTGCCTGTAGTACATACTCTCTTTCAAAGGCATAAATCACACAATTGTGTTTTCTACACTATATCTGCCCATAAGATTGTGTGCGTGTTAGAAAAATACTTCCTTTGCCATGAGGGACTATGTTCCCAGTACCTGGCACAAAGTATGCACTTGGTCAATATCAGCAGATCAGCTGAATATCTCAATGCTTCTTAAATCACCCAGTAAGAAAAAGGGAGAGGCTGAGAGTATCTGCGAGTTAGAAGAGCCATGGGATACTGGGAAGGGTGGGGTGCAGCCAAGAAGGGTCTCCCTAGCAACTGCTTGGCCACCAGGCAGGTCAGTGTGAGTGCAGCACCAACGGTGCCCTTGCAGCCATGCAGCCATGTGTGACACGTGTCCAGGAAGGCAGTGTTGAAGCGAACAATGACAGTGTTTGCTCTCAAGTTGTGAAACTGTGAGGAGTTAGTGCAACTCACCTGGACCCAGCCACCTAGCGTTTGGACGAAGTCCCTCCTCCTCTTGCCAGTCTGTCTCCAAGAAGGGTGAAGGTCAAGAAGGGTGAAGATCAAGGTCAAAAAGGGTGAAGATCAAGAAGGCAGAACTGTGGGAGGAAAGGAGAATGTGAGACATCTCAAGATGGAGGGTGGTGGGAGCCGCTCTGCCAGGGCATGCTAGACCAGAACCGTGAGCCTTTTCATTACAGGTGCTGTGCTTTGGCGACTGTTGGCGTTCTCCTGGTGGACTACCAGCACACTGGACCCCAGAGCAAACAGGCAGGCCTCTGCAGGTTCTTGGGGCACATAATCTAAAGAGCATGACTCTTTCTGCTCCTGGGGTCGATGAGTGCATTTTGGACAGGTTAAACAGCTCATGCATTAGGGAGTCTGCACCATTACTGATGATGCGCAAGCATCAGCCATGACTAAAGCTACCGCTTGCCACTCAAGTGTGCACTTCAGTTAGTACTAAGCAGCAAACGTGACTAACGTGCATTACTTTCCCAGTCTGGAAAAATTAAAAAGCGCCTTAGAATTTCCCTTAGTGGAGACAGGGCAGAGATCTCCACCTCCCTCCAGGCCTCCTTGCTCCCCTCCCCTCCCTTCCCTCGCCCCAAGCCTTGGCCTCTGCAGCTGCACAGCCCTCTAGTGGTTCTGCACATATGGTCGTGGGGGGGGGGGGAAGAGGTGAGGAGGGAGGGCTGGCTCCTCGTAAGCAGCCCCCACACCACGCCCCCTCCCCTAGACTGACAGCTGTGTACTCCCGCCCCCCAGACTGATAGCTGCGTCCTCCTGCCCCCTTCCCTAGACTGACAGCTGTGTACTCCTGTCCCCTCCCTCAGACTGACAGCTGCTTATCCCGCCCCCCCCATCCCGAGACTGACAGATGTGCATTCCTGCCTCCTCCCCTAGACTGACAGATGTGTATTCCCGCCCCTCCCTCAGACAGCTGTGTACTCCCAACCGCTCTCCTAGACTGACAGCTGAGTCCTGCCCCCTCTCCTAGACTGACAGCTGCATCCTCCCGCCCCCTCCCTCAGACTGACAGCTGTGTAATCCTGCCCCCTCCCCTAGACAACTGCGTACTCCCGCTCCCTCCCCTAGACTGACAGCTGTGTACTCCCGCCCCTTCCCTAGACTGACAGCTGTGTACTCCCGCCCCCTTCCCTAGACTGACAGCTGCATCTTCCCGCCCCCTCCCCTAGAATGACAGTGTAATCCCGCCCCCTCCCCTAGACTGACAGCTATGTAATCCCACCCCTTCCCTTAGACTGACAGCTGCATACTCCCGCCCCTCTCCTCTAGACTGACAGTTGTGTACTCCCGCCCCTCTCCCCTAGACTGACAGCTGTGTAATCCCTTCTCTCCCTTAGACTGACAACTGCGTCCTCATGCCCCCTTCCCTAGACTGACAGCTGCACCACTGCTTCCCCAAGAGAATGGCATCCGCTCATCTGTGTCTGGGCCCCGCCCCTCTCCCCAGTGCCCAGGCCTTGCCCCTCCCGCTGCCTAGGCCCCGCCCCCGGGTCTGCCTAAGGATCGTTCTGAAACGTAGGATTTTGCGTAAAGTTTCTTTTTTTTTTTTTTTTGCATCATGTACCCATTATCAATATATGTTAACATTGTTAACAGCTTATTGCAGGTGCAGTTCCAAAGAAAGTTTCTAATGTTTCCATGTCCTCCGGGTCGTGAAGACCCCACGTCTCAGGTCCCCAGCACGGCTCTGGCCTTCTCCCCTAAGCCTATGCGCCCCGTGCATCTGGGCCCCACCCCTTGCTCCAGCCTCCAGGTCCGGATCTCTGAGCGGACCTCCCTGGGCTGGGGAATCGAGCTGAACACGTAAGCTCAATTTCCCGAACCTATGAGGCCCGCTGTCTGCACGGCAGCAGCCCCCGTGGGTCCTCAGGCTCCGACTGAGAGGGCGGGCAGGGCTGCGGCCTCCCAGAGGGTGACAGGCAGGGCCTCGCTGCCGCCTTCCACACTCCAGGCCCAGCCCGGGGCCACAGCGAGAGCCAAGCTTGCTGTCACTCCACACAGCACCTGCACAGTGCCCGCACAGCCGCCAGGGGGATGATCAGGGCTCGAGCTGCCACCAGCCACAGAAGTCAGCCCCACCCTGGGCCCGCCCTCCATGGCTCCTCCGCAAAGATAGTACCGCTGGGCGGGGCCTTGGACCCATCTCACCGTGTCAGCCCTGCCCGGGCCCGCCCTCCGTGGCTCGCCAGCAAAGATGGCGTCGGTGGGTGGGGCCTCTGGCCCATCCCTCACCTTGTCAGCCACACCTCCGGCCCACCTTCCCTGGCTCCCCAGCGAAGATGGCGCCAATAGGCAGGGCCGAGGGCCCATTGGTCACCATGTCAGCCCCACCCCGGGCCCGCCCCCTGCCCCCCCCAGCGCGAGCACTGTCATTCCGTCATGACGTACCTCCGTAGGTGAACAGCGAAGATGACCACAAGGCAGAAGCGCCCATCACGTCACACAGGGCGCCCCGCCCTCGGGTCTGCCCCTCTGTAGTTGTTGTCATTCATATACTGAATGTAGAATGAATATCAAGCACACCCTCAGCAAGTATTACGCCAGAGAGGGCGGGGCTCATGGGCCTATCACTCAACAGGAGCCCGGCCCCACCCTCTGCCGGCACTGCCATGCATGTAGTTCGTACAGCGACCTGCAAAGATGGCGCTGGGGGGCGGGGCTTCCGGGCCTATAAGGAGCCCTGGCCCCGCCCTCTGCCGGTGCTGTCATTCATATAGCTCCTTACAGCAAACAGCAAAGATGGCGCCAGTGGGCGGGGATCAAGGCCTGTCACTCAGGAGGACAGCCCCACCCTCGGCCCATCCCTTAGAGCCACTACCATTCGGACATCACCTGAGCTACACGTCACCCCTCTTCATTCCCCCCCCCCACAGCTGCAAAGATGTCATCGAAGTAGGCGGGGCTCTGGCCCAATCACTAAGGTAGCTCCTCCCCCAGGCCAATCCCTGGGAGCCACTGTCATTCACAATGGCGCCTGCGCAGTGTACATCCGGCGCCCCCAGGTGCTAGCACTGACTGCACGGCCAGGGTGGGCGGGACTCAGCGCCCCCTCCCTGGGGATGGGCGCCCCGCCCTCCCCTTGCCTTCTTCCCTCTGCTCCTCCGCCCTTCCAGCCCAACTGTCGTTCACCAGAAAGCAGCAGCCGCTAGACTACGGGGAGGCGGCTCTACCTGTCAGTCACTCTTGGAACCCCGCCCCCAACCCAATCCTTCAGTGCCTGGAAACAGTCTCATCCGCTCCCAGCCTGGCACCCCACAAAATGAGGCCAGGTGCATCGTATGGCACAAAAGCTAGACAATGGCAGGGTGCGGTCTTACGGCCCCAGTCGTTACAGACTGAATCGCTATTTTCAGATGAGAATGCTGTGGAGGCCGCATTTGCCGCAAAGGGGGCCCCGCGACCCTGCGCTAAGCTCTATCGGAGGCTGCAAACACCATCCGTGCAGCCCTGCTGCTGCCCGGCCAGCAAAGAAAGAGCACAGGGGATAGCGCCACGCCACCTCCCCTCTCGGTCAAGGCCACAGGCAACCAAAGCGTCAGCCAGCCCGGGCCGCACCTGCGCGACAAGCATCACCAATATGGCGCTGGTCAGGCGGGACCTGACAAGACCGCCCCTGGCCAGCCGTGCCGCAGTCACACAGCCTGGCCCCGCCCCTCCCCGCTGACAGCCAATCAGGGCGGTGCCTGCGCGGCAACCCTAAGGTAACCAGGCAAGTGCCGCGGACTGGGCGGAGCTTGACGGACAGCCCTGGCCCCGCCCCCGCCCTCCAACAGCCAATCAGGGCGGCGCCTGCGCGGCAACCCTATGGCAACCAGCCAAGTGCTGCAGACCAGGCGGAGCTTGACGGACAGCCCTGGCCCCGCCCCCGCACTCCAACCGCCAATCAGGGCGGCGTCTGCTCGGCAACCCCATGGCAACCAGCCAAGTACTGCAGGCCGGGCGGAGATTGACAGACAGCCCTGGCCCCGCCCCAGCCCTCCAACAGCCAATCAGGGCGGCGCCTGCGCGGCAACCCCATGGCAACCAGCCAAGTACTGCGGGCTGGGCGGAGCTTGAAGGACAGCCCTCGCCCTGCCCCACTGCGGCCCTGGCCCCGCCCGCCGCCACTGCGGCAAAAACAGCCCCGCCCCCAGAGGTGGCGCTGAGGCACCCGGCGGGCAACGGGGGTCCGGTCAGCCCAGCACCCCAAGACAGGGCCCCGCATTCCCACCACCCCCAGACCCTGCTGAGAAGGGACGTCTCAGTGACAGCACCCTCAGTGACGGCGCCTGGCATCCCCTATCTGGATTCGCGATGACGGGAAGCGTGGCCATCCAGCGCCCGCCCCGCCCACACCGGGCCAGGGGAGACGAGGAGGCCCATGAGGGGCTCGGGACCCCGTGACACCCCGACACGGGGGACACAGGGACCCGCGGCAACGCGGCCCCAACGCCCCAACATGAGGGGACACGGGAGACTTGAGGCTCGCGGCAACGCGGCCGCACCGCCCAGACACGGGGACCCGGGGAACCCGGGGGCGGGGGTGGGAGTGACACGGGGCCCCCAGCAACGTGGCTGTGTCGCCAGGACACTACCCTGGGCGCATGCCGCAGTGCCGCCTCATCTGGCCGCATCTCTGCGGCAACGCGGCCCCTGCGGCAGCCACCCCAGCCCCGCAGCGCGCTCCCTGGACACTGCCGCGCAGCGCGGGCAGAGGCCGAAGGTGGGCGCCGGCCGGCGGGCCGGTGGCCGACTTACCTCCCCGCAGCGCGCTCCGTCTAGTGAGCCCGCACCGCACTGAGCGCCTAGTGGCGCTACCAGCCCAGAGTGGACATAGTCGTCCTGTCTCCGTCCTCCAGCGGCTCCGGCCTGGTCCTCCCCGCTGCTCCGGCGACTGCGGCGAGCACCGCGAGACGCCTCCTTGTCAGGCTCCTCTGCAGAGGCGGGGCCAGAGCGTCGGCCAATCAGAGGCCACCCCGCCCCCTCCAGGACCCCCGCCTGGCCCCCAACACGGTGCCAATCAGTCCGCCGTTGCCATGCCAACCGCTTGGCGCGGAGGCCGAGGCTGACGTCAGCGGAGCCCGCGCCGGGGGCCCTGGGGCAGGGTCGGGGGGAGGGCGGGGGGACAAGGGGGTGAGGGGTGACAGCCTGGAGGTGCGGGGCCGGGATGGGGAAGTGCCCGTCTGAACAACCCCGGGGCGCGCAGGTCGATAACCGGGGCGCGTGCACTTGTCCAAGGTAGCAATGAAATCATTAATTCGTATTTTTAATGATTTCATTTCATGCGTTGACGCCTCACAACTCCAGCCTGGGGAGGGCGAGCACAGGACGGACACCCTTGGCAACTCCATCTGTCCGCACCCGCCACGTGCCCGGGGCCCCGGCGACACCGTCCGAGCGGGATAGGGTGTGGGAAATAGACGGGCTGCCGGTCCGTCTACGAGGGGGGTTGGGGGGACACCCAAGCCAGCCCGATGGTGGGAGGCACACTCCAGTCAGCCCGATCGTGGGGGGCACACCCCAGTCATCCCGATCGTTGGGGGGACACCACAGTCAGCCCGATCGTTGCGGGGACACCTCAGTCAGCCCGATCGTGGGGGGACACCCCAGTCAGCCCGATTGTGGAGGGCACACCCCAGCCAGCCCGATCATGGGGCGGGGGGACACGCCAGCCAGCTCCACCACGCGCAGCCGGCCGCCACCCTCCCACTGCTGTCACGGCGCAGGTCACCGGGGAGAACCGGGAGGGTGCAGGATCGGCCGGAACAGCGGCGGCGGCGGCGGCGGCGGCGGCGGCGGCGGCGGCTATCGTGCCAGGCATCCGCCGCACCATGCACGACCCCGCAGGCTGATCCCCCTCACGGAGCGGAGTCCCGGGAATGGAGGCCAGAGAGAGGAGGCCCCGGAGAACATCTCCCTGGCCTCCCGTCCCACCGTAGATGGCCTTCGCAGCTCTTTTCTGCTGGGACAAAAAGAGAAAGGAAATGGGTGACTTGGTAGGAGCTCACCTTCATCCCGATGGCCAACCACTCCTGCAAAAGGACTGGAACTCAAGGCAGAGAATAAGGTTGAGCCCACTGGGGGGCTCTGGGGTGCGACCTCTCTCTGGCCACCACCGACTTCTGGGGTGCCGACTCCTCCCTGGTCACCATCAATTCCTAGGGTGGGACCCCTCCCTGGTCACCATTGACTCCTGGGGTGCGACTCCTCTCTGGCCACTACAGACTCCTGGGGTTTCTGGGGTACAACCCCTCTCTGGTCACCACCGACTCCTGGGGTACGACCTCTCTCTGGTCACCATCGACTCCTGGGGTGCGGCGATCTCTGGCCATCATCAGAAACATACTTCTTAGAAGAGAACTAGATTGTGTTCTGAAAAAAAAAATCCATATGCTGTGATTTTTTAAATGTCATCTATTAGAAATGAAAACAATACAATGTTTTTATCAGACACAAAAAGTCACAGTTGTGATTTTAATTTTAAAGGGGAAAAATTCCTGAGACATGGATTTTTTAGGGGGAGGGTCGAGGAGGAGGGAAGCAGTTTACCTAGGAGAGCACACAGAATGCTATATCCCAAATTACATTTTATATTTATAATAAGGAACGAGTTGCCAAGGGGGTCCTTGCTCCTGAGAAGCCTCAGTGCCAGGCAGATTGTGCGTTTCACACTACCCGCACATTCCAGCCATGCCACTTAAAAATAAAATATGAATAGAAACCCTGTGCTTAGTATGCGAACAAACACACCTTCAAAACAGGCTGCCAGGACACTGGAGGTGAATGTACGATTAGCTCGTGTCAAAGATTTTTCGAATCTGGCTATTCATTAGGTTTTGCCTTCCCTGGGAGCTGCTAAGACAATGGGGGGTTTCTAGGACCCCCAGAGTGGCTTTGAGTTGGGTTCTGCTGAGAAATTCTGGTTTGGGAGCTCCCAAGAAATCCTAATGTCTGGCGGAGGTCTTGGGGGGTGATTTTAGCATGTTTTAAGGACAGGTAAGAACCCTTTCTTTCCCCAAAGAAATGCCTGGGTACCTCATTTCCCAGTGAATCCCACGTGGCCTGTGAACCCCTGTGACTCAGCACCTACCTACCTGTCCCCCCCACACAGCTTCCAAGCCAGCCCACGGCCATGACCCTGACTGCTCGCATGTTACCTCTAGCTAACACACATACACACACACACTGGCCTCCCTGAAATCTGACCATTTTCACCAGTCCTTTGGTGACTAGGAAACATGTCTTTGCCTATGCTGGCAGTCGGTATCTGAATTAAAACCTCTTCAAAACAAAACCTCATAATTTCTCGTGTTTGTGGGAATGCTTCATGGTTCTGGGCCCTCCCTCCCTCCTGAGTCCCCCTCCCCCTAGCAGGCTCTCTGTCATGGCCTGCTCTTCCTGTGTGCAGACAACACAGGCATGCCAGGGCCTCCACTGTGAACCTCCTCCCCTAAGGCAGCCTCCCCTCCTCATGGAGGCTCATGGCTCACAAGTCACCCCTCTGCCAACACTGCCATAGAACGAAGGCGGCCATCCACTTAACAGCTGATCTCTTGATTCCTCAGTTGGAAGTCTAATGAGCAACTCACACGTTTAAGACAAACATTTATTTCCCCTTCCTCCCTTTCTGTAGCAGACACCCATTGCTGAAGGCAAAATTCTCACAATTGTGCTTGTTCCTCAATTCCAATCCCATCAATATCAGCTTGCTGACTTTACATCCAAGACACACCCTGAATGTGTCCCGTATTTTCCCTTTCCCCAATAATCCTCCCCAGATAACCTCCTTCCACTCCTCCCTCCTCGCCCTGACATTCCCCACATGGTGTGGGGCTGAGCTCCCAAGGCCAAAATGATGTCAGGCTCCGGCATGGATTACCTCCTTCCCTCAGTCCTGAACACGACAGAGTCAGCAAGAGCCATGGTTATATTTTTGTCTTGGACATACATGTATCTATGTATATGTTATTATGGTGCTATAACATGTTATCATCTCCTCCTTCAGGACTCTGGATGTCATGCCTTCCTGAAGAAAAGCCCTCCACACAACAAGGTCACACGAATTCCAATCATCGCGCATTTCAGTTTTTAACGTTTATCCTTGTGTCTGTCCTGTGTTGGGGATATAACCCCTGCCCCAACCCTGAGATGTCCACAAGTGGACTCTTGGTGAGTTCTCGGGTCTGTCCCACTGGTCCCTTTGCAACTCTCTCTGCATTGACACTGCGCAATCACTACCACAGCCCGGCAGGTCCTGCAGCCATCCTGGCCCCTGGAGGAAAACTGCTTTACCTTGGTTTTGGGTTTGTTTTTTATTCCCCCTCAAGGGTCTGACTCTTCTTAGCTTTTGAATCACTTTTCAAATCCACTTGTCATGTTTGACGGAAATGCCCACTGAGATCTCCATCAGGGTCTTTAACTAAATCCAGAGAGCAATTGAGAAGAAGCAGGCATCTGAGGCCAAGACTTCACCCCTTGGACATCGGGTGTCAGTATTGAATCCTATAGACAACAATATAACATAAATCCTCCTCCCTGCCAAAAAAAGTTGCTATTTGAACTTAGGGTATTTTTTATCCCATTTATTGTATCTATCATAATCTCTGTTTTTTTGTTTTTTATTTTTGCCAGTCCTGGGGTTTGAACTCAGGTCCTGGGCACTGTCCCTGAGCTTCTTTTTTTTTTTTTTGTCTGTCGTGGGGCTTGAACTCTGGGCCTGGGCGCTGTCCCTCAGCTCTTCAGCTCAAGGGGAGCGCTCTACCACTTGAGCTACAGCGCCACTTCCGGTTTTCTGGTGGTTTATTGGAGATAGGAGTCTCACGGTCTCTCTTGCCCGGGCTGGCTTTGAACCGCGATCCTCAGATCTCAGCCTCCTGAGTAGCTAGGATTACAGGCGTGAGCCACCAGCGCCCGGCTTCCCTGAGCTTCTTTTGCTCAAGGCTAGTGCTCTACCACTTGAGCAACAGCACCACTTCCGGTTTTCTCGTGGTTTATTGGAGATGAGCCTTGTGGACTTTATTTTCCTGCCCGGGCTGGCTTTGAACTGTGATCTTCAGATCTCAGCCTCTTGAGTAGCTAGGATGACAGGCGTGAGCCACCGGCACCTGGAATAACTGTCTATTTTAAAGATAATTTCCAATTTAAACAACATTTGCAAAGGGTGTGAGATTCCTCAGCCAGCCATTCACATTTTGCAGGCCCTCAGGATGGAACATTGTCAAAAGGAATGTCTAGCAGCACGGAAGTATTGAGGCGCACATTCCACTTAGGTGTCGCCTGCTTTCCACACATGTCCTCCTATCAAGTCCCATCTAGAACAGGACATTGCACCAGTGATTGCATGTCCGCCTCCGGGGCCCAGGCGTCTCTCTGCATTCCTGGTTTCCCGTGACACTGGTGTTTTGAGGGGTAGTACAGAAGTAAGGAGGGTTTTGTGTATTTGTGTATGTGTGTTTTAAGTAAAGCATTTTGGGTTGCTCTGTGATTTTCTGATAACCTGACTTGGGCAAGGAGTATTTGAGAAGAGTGTCTTGATGATCTATTTATTTATTTTGCCAGTCCTAGAGTTTGAACTCAGGGCCTGGGCACTAAGCTTCTTTTTGCTCAAGGCAAGCGCTCTACCACTTGACCACAGCACCACTTCCGGCTTTTTCTGTGTATGTGGTACTGAGGAATCGAACCCAGGGCTTCATGCATGCTAGGCGAGCACTCTACCACTGAGCTACCTTCCCAGCCCATTTTTGCTGTTTTTTATACACTGATTTACCAGTTTGCCTTGTTATTCTAATAGTTTGCGATTTTTATTCTAATAGTTTGCAATTGGCTTTCCTGGAATTTTTTTTTTTTGAATCATGCTAATGC